TGACCAAGCGACAAAGATTACGCTAGGCAGTTTGTCTCTAAAACCAAATGTTGACCTGGGTCATTTTAGGTCAATGGCCTATTCTGATCTCTAATAACTCCATGGATGATGTATAATGCGGTTCCTGATATCAATAAACTCGAAATGAGCACCAGAAACTATCCCATACAGCAAGCCCTAGAGTAACAAAACAGGTTTGTTTTGACCTTGGTATAATCTTCATATCTGTCCTTAGGTCAATGTAATATGCCCATTCAACTGTTGTGTTGCCTAAGAAAGCATCTCAGAGATGTATGGCTTCGTCTAACACTCCGTTGTCGGATCAGATTGAAGGATTCCTTAGAAATTGCCCTCGTTGAAACCATGGCCTGACTTTGACCTGCCAAAGGTTAGCAACCTTACAAGATGCATCTAAATTTTTGATTCAAAACGATCCGCTATCTAATTGTCTACAGCTATGCAAAGTTTGGCGCGGCTGCGCCGCGCCGTTCGAGAACCACTCTGGAAAAACCTTTCCGGGGGGGGGGGGGGTCAATTTAACCCCCCACCCGAGCGCGTGTTAATAAATGTAAATTCGGTTGACGTTTATATAACTTGATGATGCACTACATGATAACAAGAACAGATGGCTACATTTTAGCATTTCAAGCTGTTGGGTATGCTCGATCTCTGGACAGATAGTGGTGCATAAGTGCTCCTGCTCCTATTCCTTCTCCCATAAGTGCTCCTATACCTGCTCCAATCTTTTTTTAGGTTGAAACTTTGTGGTACATCGCGCACTGTAAACATAAAAAACCTTAATAGCTCCCATGGGCTAAGACAAAGCAACAGTTTTCAGGAGTCAGAAAGGTAGACCATTTCAGGAACACTGTCCATGGCTGAATGCGACTATGTTGGCGTTTCGGTTTTTCTTAGACTATCCCCCTTCATATGATGAGTATTCCAGAAATCCTGATGAAAGCGTCACGTCAATGATCAGAGGTTAAATATGCCCGATGTCACAATGAATAGGTCTGTTTATATGCATCACTTTCATCTTACGCTTTAAAACAATCGCGAATACCTTTCCTACTGTGTTTTTTGTCGATATGTGCCGTGTGCCATGTGCCGCTGCTGAGGCGAAGTCATAGCAGTGAAGCGAACCAGGCCAAACGTTAAGTGTCTTTGGTGAAGCGCTGATACGCTGGTCTTTGAGCTTCTTTGTGACGTCAATTTCCGTCAAATGGTCGTCAAATGGTGGGTAGGCTGGTCAAACTTGGTTACAGCGACTTTTCTTGAACGTTGGAGGTCAAAATGCTTTAAGTTCCAAACAGCGTAGGGACGGCGCGAGAGCACCATCATGGAAAAAATCCTTGGAAAATTTATTTTCAGATTGGAGGTTCACGAATACCGCCTGCCTTATCCAGGGGAAAGGCGCTGAACTTGTTACCCAGGGGCACTGGGTACGAGTCGCAGGGTGGGAGCGCTGTTTGGCCCGACTGGCATAGAAACGTCAGCCGGCATCTGGCCAACGATGGCCGACCAAGGCCGGGGGCGGCCGCTTCGCAGTATTGTGCGGCACCCAACGATGGCCGACCCAGGCCAGGGGCGGCCGCTTCGCAGTATTGTGCGGCACCCAACGATGGCCGACCCAGGCCAGGGGCAGCCGCTTCGCAGTATTGTGCGGCACGTGCAACAACCCTTGGTTCTGTGAGGTTGAAGGACGGAGGCAAAATTATTTTTTAGCTGTGTGGCACAACGTAGACGACGCTAAGATTACATGAAATAAATCGCCGGCACTCTTTATTTTGCAGTGGTCCAGTGGACTATTTCTCAACCGATGTAACTCAAAAGCTTTGTCAGAATCTTTATCTAGGCTGCACAGAGATGTCACCATGTCCAAATGGAAATGGATTCCCAACTCGGTAAATCGAAATTGGCGAATCGAAATAGGTCACCAACTTGTAAAAACATGGATGAGCCGTGTTTGCCCGCAAATTTTCAATATTCAGCCAAAATCGATTTGTGATACAAATCATATAGCGCAGTTTTGATCATACGCGTTCGCAAGTCTTCGCGGCAAAAGTCTCGATGCCGGGTGGTGCAGTCTCCGCCGTGCGCGAAGCGTCGACTCGCTGCTTATTTTAAGTCGTGGACAACGTGCATACAAAAATTATGACACACTTGAAAGAAGTACATTTGAACGTTTTAGGACTTTACATCGCCCATTTAGAAGGTAGCCCGGCTGTTAACTTCACTTGTGCGATTTCTAAATTATCGTTAATAACGGACTGGCCTTTGGTACACACCGCAACACCGCAAAGTAGCGCTGGAATCTAGTGGTGGAATTGGAATAGTGAAGGTATGATATATATTTTTTCGCGTTGCTGTAACTATTAATATGTCCGAAGGAAAGTCTTAAAAATGTAGAAATGCGCCCAGCCTCATCTTTCAAAGGTACGGATTAGTTTTGCAAGACATTCGAAACCATTATTTTGCAATGGTCATTCGCGCGCACGGCTTCCTCTGGTGCTACTTGCAGTAGCCAACGCCTTTTAGTTTTACGGAGACTGCAGTCCAGGCAATCGCTGCCCTTGCTCCGGAGATGGCGGGCGCGTAGGCTCAAACAATTTTCTAGTGTTTCACTAATTGATTCCGTAAGAGTAGACGTTCTCAGACAAACATGGGATGGTCTCCTTCCTTTTTTAACTCATGCCGACCAGTTCTATTCAACACCATTGAGACCCTTTTTCTCTTCGGGAAAGGAGACCACTTGATTAGCACACTAGGGGGCACATTATTGTACCCGATCAAGGGCTGAAGGGCCATTCCGTCCCACCGCAGGTTGTCTTCCGGTTGCCATTCTGCCGACACGGGGCGTGATCCCCTGACCGATCCGGAGGCGGAGGCTTAGATGAATAAATAATATCCCATCGGTCCCCTCACTAACGCGGGAGGCCTTCTGACCCGCACCGGTAACCCCGAAACGACGAAGGAGTTCTCATTGGCGCAACAACATCCCTGATAGGCGCAAGTGGTCCAATAATAGGCACAAGGACTCCAGTTCGGCTTAACGGGCCATTGCTGGAATTGGGCTGGGGGCCCACCGTTCGGTACTGGAGGCCTGACGGACACAGGACCCTTCCTTTGCCTCAATGTGAACGATCATCGCAAGCTCTTATGTTTCCTCTCATTGTCAAAGGACCACGATCAACGCAAGAGGCTCTCTGTCATTCTGGGTCCCGTCCCGTTTCTGCTGAGCAAATCTTTCTCTGACCAACTCTGGACCCCTTGCTGACACAGAATATTCTGTTAAGCACTGTGGGACACTGAGCGATACAGAAGCCCCACATTTTTGTGGGGTTCTCGACCGATATAACTCGCGGTCCCGGCCGTGTCCCCACTTGAAAAATGGCCCTAGAGCTCAAACCAACATGGAGCCGACTATTCGGTGCTTCTGACCTCTGGCCGAAGCGGAGGAGCCCTCTGCCCCATCGGTCCCAAATCGGTGCAAGAGGCATTCGAACTGACAGCTGAAATCACGGCCCTACGGGCGTAGATCCTTATGTGACCTACAGCCAGCGCTTTGAACTCTCCAACCTTCCAAGCGAATGCTTGATATCTTGTCTTAAGAGACCCGTCTGTCCCTTTTCGGACCCCCTCAAACATCGCTCCTGGCCGACTAGGGTCTACTTTCCCTACAGGACCCCTGTTAGGGACCGTAGCCTCTAACCGTTGCAGGAGCCCATCACTGTGTCAGGGACCCCGCACATTGGAAACTGCATGCCCCGGCCTTGTTCCTGCTTGGGAAATGGGATCTCAGGGTTCAGACTGGCAAGGAGCCAACTGCCCGGTGTTCGTGGCCTCTGGTCGTCTTAGATACTCGCATTGCCTCAGGGATCATCAAATAATGCAAGAGGACCTCTGGCTGATACTTCAGATCACAACCCAACGGGCCGCGATTCTTTATGTGACATTAAGCTAGTCCTTCGGGCCCTTATGCTCTCCAACCGGGCCTTTGATAGTCTGTTCCGGCGGGCCGCCCCGGGTCCCTCCTTGGGGCTCATCGAACCTTGCCTCATGCCCTTGTTTGGCTCTGGTTCTTGCAAGCACAGGACCCTCCGTTCGGTTCCGTGGGCCTCTGAAAGAAACAGGGCCCCGAGCTGTTGAAATCACTGGCTCAGGCTTTGTGGCTGATTGGGAAGTGGGCCCTCATGCCCATACCGACACGGAGAAGACTGTGCGTTGCTTGTGGTGCCTGCTACAAATATAGGCCCATATCGATTCAGTGGGTCCATAGTCGAGCGCGAAGGGCCCTTTGACTGTCACTGGAGGGTCCGTCCCCGCAGGCCGGGGCCCCTGAATAAGATTCCGACCAGCCCTTCGCGCCCTTAGACCCTCCAATCGGGCCTTGATCATCGGGCTCGGTTGATCCTCCAGGCTCTTCAGGCCTCTTCGAACGCTGCGTCGTGCCAAATCGGGGCCCCTTACTAACACAGGGTTTCCGTTAGTTGGCTGTTGGGCCCTGGCGGACGCTGGGCACCGACCAATGCAAATCGCTGTACAAGGCTCTGTCCCGCTAGGGAAATGGGTCCGCGGGCCCATGCCACCACGGAGCCGTCTGGGCGTTACTGGTGGTACCTGACCGACATGAATACAAAGGCGTCAATAACATCAGACACTATTTTCAGCCGACCGACGCATGGATGAAGATGACTTGAACGATAATCAGCGTAAATATGACTTCTATCAATAATGACCGACCAATGCAATATGCCGGGGAAAAATTTCGATATCTGCATTCAACATGATTTGAGTATTTAAGCAAAGCGAAGAGTTTACCAACACAGAGCTTACCAAGAATCGATGACATTGAATGTCAAGAAATACGCAAACATAGACAGGGTATGGGCTATGCACGATCAACGTTTTTGAACGATCAGATGCTTCAACGAGTATTTTCAAGCAGTGTTTTAGTAGTTCCTGAAGCTACTTACCTGGTACCTGCGCGCCATCTACATTTTACACTGCTGCCGTGGCCGGTGCCCGGGGTTGACATACCCGCTTTGTTTTTTCCTTGCGTGTCTGCACTGCTGCAAGGTAACCTACAGTTTCAGTGTAGTGGTGGCTTGGACAAAATTATGTTGTGCATTGTCTTGTTTGTTGGACTGATTGGTTGCGCGAAGATGTTCTTATTCGGCTGTGATTGTGGCGCATAAGAGACGAGATAATGGCACCTAACAGTGCTGTCCAGTTACGTGCTGTATGTGTATGAATTAGTATGTTGAATACTTTTGCAGGGCACCATTTTTCTCATATTCCATTTCCTTAGTATGACATAATTTAATCAAAGTTGTAAGTCTTTGAGGGACTCAGGTGGATTGTATTGTAAGAAGATACTGGGGGTTGAATATGTAGGCACTAAGATCAGGTAATGGCTGAAAAGATTATATACAATTTGACCACAAAATGGGATTTAAGTCAATGATAATGCATGATGGTTGTGTGTAGGAAGTAATTCCTATTTTGTGCTTGATAAATTTAAGAATTAATGTACAGGATTTGGCATGTTTTCAATAACCTAAAGGGCAGCATCAGCAATTGGTAAATATTTTTTATTGAAACAATGTTTCTTCATTTGCTCCAGGCATGTTACCATTGGGCTAAACAGTGCTGGAAACTGGCAAACTTAGATCGGGCCTTTTGTACTGGAATATAGCTGGGCAGCTACCAGTTTTGTCCTTTCATGTTCCTTCTTTGGTGTACTGGAACATAGCTGGGTAACTACTGGTTTTACCCTTTCATGTTCCTTAACATGAAAGGACAAAACTTGATCAGTCATTTGTCTCCTTGGTGTGTTTTATATTTTTATGTGAACAAAAGGTCTGATGTAGATTGCCCACATGGTTACTAAGCAAGCTTTTAATTCATCATTTTGTTAGCTTCAAACAGATATCACTGATATCATGTGAATGCACAATTGGAGACAAAATGGTCTGGGGGTATGTTTTAATTTGTTCACACTATCTGTAATTCTGATGGAATTGTATTTATGGAGTTCAGTAATATGTTATGCTTGTGAAATGTTAATTTAGATCTTACCTCACAACTTAACATAACAGGCTTCCAAGTTTGACTACCAAAACCTGCCTATCTATCACAGTTGTCTATCTTCGTATCATGGGCCTGTGCACATAACCCAAGGATGGCAATAGATGTACTCAACCTGGTATACCAGCTGCAAAATATGTTGGCAAGTCTTTGAAAGCCTTGTTGCTCCAGCTAGCATTGGGCAACCTAAACTTCATTGCTGCCCACTGACCGGTCTAAAAAACATGGTAGATCTTTCAATAATTAGCCTTCACCCGCAATTTGACTTTCAACCCAGGAAAACTACTGCTGCTTTAACATATCTTTTTGGAAACTCTGGAATTTGGCATCAGTAAAAAAGGACAGTATTAATTGAACAACCAGAATGGTCACTTCAGTCACCAAAATCCACACCCTGCTGAATCACCAGGTGATCACACACACACTGATCACTAGCTAAATCAGTAAGCCGAAAGGCCAGTCTATCACTAGAAAGCTGACTCATACACAAGTGGGGGAGTGGCATCCCAGTGAGAACTCATCATGCAGGGGTGGTGATGCAGCGATTGTGATTATCTGTATTCTCAATCTTGGCTGCATCTATGTGTACTTGCTATTTGATTTCTGACTTGGATGGTCTGTGGCCAGTCAAAGAAGTCATTCATTATTAGGGAGGTCAAATGGCAGGCAGACCATGCCATGCATTGTGGCACAAGCAACTTTTCTGTGATACTGTTCTGTTCTGTAAGCTTACAGCTGATTATGATGGCCATGGTTATGTGAGCAGGCTCTTTTAATGGGATGGACAGCCAGCTTTTGTGAACTGTTTTTAGGGTTGGCTGGAACAGACCACCCAACCCACTCCTAACTGTAAAAGGTTTCTGCCAATCTTGACAATGTAAGTTGACACAATTGCCAAAGTGCAATGATCCATGAGTGCCCACCACCGGAAGCTTCAATGTTTACTCCAAACTGGTGAATCCCACCAGTTGCAAGGTCTTCAGCCTGCTGGCCCTTATAAGAATTTCAGAGTAGTCAGAAAGTTGGGGTTTGCTGCACTATTGCCAGACTGAGTGGTATGCCTTAAACATGACAAACAACAGTCAGCATCACTGGTAGTGCTGAGTCTGAGGACTGTCAAATTTTGGCACATGAGTGGTCAGGCAAAAAGGCAAAGAGAAGGAGACAAATGGTTCCAACCTGGTATATAAGCCTAATGTCATGACACCTTGACCCTCTTGATTTCATAAGTTCATCTCAGGAGATTTATAAGAATATTTATTAGTGAAGATACCTAAGATTTATAAGAATATTTATCAGAAGAATATCCAAACATTTGTGAATCCACCAAAAACACCTGTTTTGGAGTAGGTAATCATAGATATGCTGGATAAAACATATTTTGGGCATGGAGGGGGGCTGGGGGTCGAAGCTCAGTGTGTATTCATGACAAAATACTACGCGTAGGTTTGCTGATTGGCTGTTGAAAACTATGCTTGAGTGCGGTGTTGGAAAATTTGACATTTCCTGTTATAATGTATACCAGGAGATTTTGTACTCCAGGATTGTGACTTGGTAAAATGAAATATGTTTGTACTGCAACATGATGCAACAAGAACAGCTTTTGGAATTCTTATTTTGCCTCTTTGTGTCAGGACAAAATAAAACCAGCGCATGCAACAGCTGGAGACTTGAATGTGAGAAAATGAAGCTGTTGACTTTCAGCCAGGTTTACATCATTTATTATTTTTATGAATATGACCAGTATGTTTCAATCAGCTCAGGTCGTCCTGACGTTCCCATGCTGAAGTGTCCATCCTGACTTAATTTTTGTATTTCAGATGTTTCGCTGTGCCCATGTCCTGCACCAGTCGCCACTCACGGCTTCCAATCTTCTCACTGGCGTCAGGTTTACCGTTCGAAATGGAACAAGTGAGTATGCCTAGTTGGTGATTAGCATAAATATCCTAAGCTGTGCAAGGTTTTGTTTTTTTATCAACAGGTTAGAAGTTTATGCAGCAGTAGCACATATTTGTCAGTTTCTTTTTGGTTATGCCAATTAACACCATTAACACAGATCAGAACTTTTCCGTTTTTTTTTTTAAAGGAAGAGCATACCAAATCACACTCTTGTCCATCTGAGCAGTTTGAAAAATCGGTAACAAGTTTGCCAGGCACCTGTGTGTGAGCTGGATAGCTTGCATTTCTGAATTATGATCATAGTTTTAGTTCCTGGGCCTGAATTCAATGAGAACACAATTCAAAGCTGAGAAATACACTTTGAGAAGACTAATAATGTGTCATTTGTTTGGTGGGCTAACCCTTTTGGTGGACGACCCATTGGTCCAAAAACGTGGCTTGTTATCACACTTCAAAGTTCTCATAGAACTTGAATGTTTTCCAAATTCTGAGTATGTTTATGGCTTACAAATGTTCTGAACGAATGATACTGAGCTGTATGCATAGTGCTATGACATAAAGGCGTCAACCGCACGAAATTCGGAACTCAACGCAATTAGGGAAAACGCCATGGGGCTCGAGTGCCTCCGACGTCTGTGATGTTCTCATAAGCTCCCCTGTGGTCGACAAGGGCTGCATTTTCAACGTGGGGTAGACGGCCATGCAGTGACATGCCATATAAACAAGATCGTCATCTTACAGTCCCATACTAATTGTTTCAGAGAGCGGTCGGCGGTTTTACAAGCAGGAGGCGTACAAGCCGGTGACGATGAACGACCTGCCCGTGCCGCGCGGCTCCTGGGCGCAGCTGCACGCGCTGAAGCAGAGGAACTATAACCTGACGCTGGCCGGCGGCCTGGCGTTCACCGGCTTCACGGCGTTTGTGGTGAGCTCACGGCCGGCCTGCGTCACCGGCCGCCGGTGGTCCGCCCGCCGGCTGGACCCGCTCACCGCTGTCTGGCCTAAGGGTCGGAGGACGCCGGTCCTGCTGAGAGGCGCGTGGTGATGGCCTTCGAGCTGTGGGCTTTAGCTACGTATGCCTGTGGTGGGCGGAACGTGGGGGCGGCTCTGCAATCCTGCAGCCAACAACCAGCGAGAGAACCGGTAGTTGAGGCGTCATAAACCTTTCGTGGTTACGTTGTTGACTTATCGGTAATGTATGAAATTGTAGTTTGATGGAATGTAGAATTCGCATCGTGTCACAACTGCATGGCATATGCTGGAGATTTTCACCTGGTTGGCTGTGGTTCATGCAGCGATTCCTCGCTGGTCTGAATTATCTGACCGCACCCTCACATCCGCAGGCATACCAAAGCAACTTGATCGTGTTGAATACGACTCCCGATCTCAAGAAGATGAACATCCGCACGTCTGTCCCCGAGCCGGCGTCCACTGCCGAGAGCGGCGCTGCGCCAGACGACGTCGCGGCGGCGTCGCCTGCGCCGGCCGGCACCGAGGCGGCGCCGGCAGCCGCGGCGGCCGAGCCGCTGCCTGAGGTGCCCGCCCACGTGCCGTACCTTCTGGTGGGCGGCGGCACCGCCTCGTTCGCCGCCTTCCGCGCGATCAAGGCCAAGGACGCCAAAGCCAAGGTTGGTGTCGGCCGTGGGGACATGCAGTGCGCTGGGCCCTGGCCCCGATGCAGGGGCTTAGCCTTGATGATGCCCTGATGATGGACCAATGTTGACACAATGTTTTCTTTGGACGCAAAGTTTCGCAGACATGAACCCGAAAAGCAGCGGCCATAACTCATACACAATTTAAGGGTAGCCCTTCTAATATCTCAAGACATATGCATACAAATGGAACGATTTTGTCGAATGGGCACTTAAGCGTCATTCCAAGCAAGTATGGAAGAAAGGCCTAGATAGGACGCCTCAGCACCATGCCAAACAAATACCGAAGACGGTCCATCAGGGAACCCTCGAGGCTTGTCAAGGAGGACGTAGTGGACGAATGTTTAGCACCTTCAGCTGCCACAGGGGGGGGGGGGGGGGGGGGGGGGCGGCGGCGGATTCAAATCACGATAAAGGCATGGTCTCTGGGCGCTGATATGGTCTCTGCAGTCGCTGGCGCCCCCATGAGAGGGCGCCCGACGACGTACGTCGTGTCGCATTCAAAAAGGAGAAAAAAAGATGTTTGTCAGAGTGAGGCTCCCATGGACAAGTGGTTGTTAAGTTTGCCGTGGCGTGACTTGGCAGGTTCTGGTGGTGACGGAGGAGCCGCACCTACCCTACATGCGACCGCCGCTCTCCAAGGAGCTGTGGTTCTCTGACGACCCCGAGACGCCCAGCACGCTCAAGTTCAAACAGTGGAATGGAAAGGACAGGAGGTAAAGCGTTGATATCGCATCGACCAATGCGCGGGTCTCGTGGAACTGGTGCATGAACTCACGCCCATCATGTCCCCCTCCTGATGTAAGACAGTTGCTTCTTCTGACGTTCTCTGTTGTGCTGCCAATGTGCGGCGTTGCGGGATAACTCGCGGACGCCTCGTGCCCGGCTACGTTTTACGCGATTTTACTGCTCACGGTCTCCCTCTCAGCCGGTGCATGAAGTCTGTGTTCCGAGCCCCCTCAGCCGGTGTGGGGGTCTGTGCCCGCAGTCCCCTCAGCCGATGTGTGGAGTCTGTGTCTTGAGTCCCCTCAGCCGGTGCATGAAGTCTGTGTTCCGAGCCCCCTCAGCCGGTGTGGGGGTCTGTGTCCGCAGTCCCCTCAGCCGGTGTGTGGAGTCTGTGTCTGGAGTCCCCTCAGCCGGTGCGTAATGTCTGTGTTCCGAGCCCCCTCAGCCGGTGCGTGAAGTCTGTGTTTCGAGCCCCCTCAGCCGGTGCGTGAAGTCTGTGTTACGAGCCCCATCAGTCGGTGTGTGGAGTCTGTTTGGAGTCCCCTCAGCCGGTGCGTGAAGTCTGTGTCCGGAGCCCCCTCAGCCTGTGTGTGAGGTCTGTGTCCGCAGTCCCCTCAGCCGGTGTGTGGAGTCTGTGTCCGGAGCTCTGAGCTCATCTCTCTGAGCTCTGAGCGTCAGTAGCGTCAGTAGAGCGTCCGCTGACACCGCGCCGTCGTGTGCCCGCCAGCATCTTCTTCGAGCCGTCCGAGTTCTACTGCCGGCCGGCGGAGCTGCCCGAACGCGAGAACGGCGGCGTGGCCGTGCTGGCCGGCCGGCGGGTCGTCAAGCTGGACGTGATCAAGCGGCGCGCCTACCTGGACGACGGCTCGGAGATCACCTACGACAAGTGTCTGCTGGCCACCGGTGCGTCTGGCCGGGACGGCCGGGTATACCGGTGCAGATAATGCGCGAGGGGGGGGGGGGGGCTGTAGTGTACTATGTATGCAGGGAGTTTGCTTACACCCTTACCTGTGCTGTCAGGTTCTGTCAGTCAGGTTTCGGTACCCAGAATTAAGACATGCTAGGGTATTTGACTGCGCTCTGGACTGAGCATCTCTGGTTTGATATGTACCGACCAGTCAAATGAACAAATTGTTCTTTGATTTTAACACGTGAGTCGTTAGCATAATTAAGTCTTTTACACGGTTAAAGGTGGCGGTCGCGAGTCAGCCGACTGTCCCGCACTCGTGAGATGTCATCGTTCGAGTCTGAGCACAGCTGCAGATCAGTTTGATGTTGCCACGTCACCGGTCGGTGGCCAGTTGTGCGCCAGCCGGGCGGCCAGCGGTGGCGCCGCCGCACGCACGTCCCTGGATAGGGTGGCCCCGACGCGCCGGAACAACGTCACAGCATTGGCTGCACCTGTTATATGCCCGTCCCCTGTGGCAAACCGGCTACCCAAGTGGTGTTCCTTGCCATCGGCATCAGCCGGTGGGACGACAGACGGGACGGGAGACCGGCGAGACGACAAGCGGGATGGGGGACCGGCGGGACGGCAGACGGAACTGGGGACCGGCGAGAGGACAGACGGACGAGGGACTGGCAGAACGGCAGACGGGACTGGGGACTGGCGGGCGACAGACGGACGGCCGCGACCTCACGGCTCGCCCCGTGTCGTGACTCCACTAACCGTGAGGCTCGCCCCATGTGACTGTACTAACTGTGCGGCTTGTCACTCCACTCACTGTGCGGCTTGTCACTCCACCCACTGTGCGGCTCGCCAGTCACTCCACCCACTGTGCGGTTCGTCACTCCACTCACTGTGTGGCTTGTCACCCCACTCACTATGTGGCTCGTCACTCTACTCACTGTGCGGCTCGTCACTCCACTCACTGTGCGGCTCGTCATTCCACTCGCTGTGCGGCTCGTCACTCCACTCGCTGTGCCGCTCGTCACCCCACTCACTGTGCGGCCTTTCACTCCACCCACTGTGCAGCTCGTCACTCCACTCACTGTGTGGCTTGTCACTCCACTCATTATGTGGCTCGTCACTCCACCCACTGTGCGGCCCGTCACTCCACCCACTGTGCGGCTCGTCACTGCACTCACTGTGTGGATCGTCACTCCACTCACTGTGCGGCTCGCCCGCCAGGTGGCCAGCCACGCTCGCTGCCGGCGCTCGAGGCCGTCCGAGACAAGGTGACGCTGTTCCGCACCATCGACGACTACCGCTCGCTGGAGGAGACGATGCGCAAGGCCAAGTCGGTGGTGATTGTGGGCGGCGGCTTCCTGGGCAGCGAGCTGGCCTGCGCGTTGGGCAGGAAAGGTATGTGCTGGCAGCCTCACATCGGCCCTTCCGCCCACTCAGCACAACGTCCGGACGGGCGAGCTGGTGCCATATCCTCACCGGAGAGGTATCGGCCAGGCCTGCCGAGGCACCGGCTCCTTGTTCATGGCTTATTGCAGCGTTTCATATCTCTGCTTATTAGATGCATCATCACACTTCGTCATCATCTCACTTGACTGCATCTCACTTCATCTAAGCAGGCTAGGTAACAGTCTGGGACCACACCCCATCCCATGGCGCTACTTTGCTCCCACTTGTTAGTGCTATGCTGATCCTTTTTACAAAGGGTGCTCTGAGTGATATGCGCAACTTGGTGGGTTGTCCCAGTGGCGCTCGTCAAGAAGATCGGCTGAATTGTCCTGGCCGACCTGAGCTTTACTTCAGGACGCAGGCACACCCGTAAGACGGGGTGGGGTCCCCCGTGCGAGCGCCTCCGTCCCTGCTTCACCGCAGCCCGTCCGGTCCGCCCCTCAGGCAAGCAGACCGGCCTGACGGTGACCCAGACGTTCCCGGAGCCGGGCAACATGGGCCGGGTGCTGCCCGAGTACCTCAGCAACTGGACCACGCGCAAGGTGCAGGCCGAGGGTGTGCAGGTGCTGACCGGCACCAGCGTGAAGTCAGCCCGCCGACAGGGCGATGCCGTGGAGCTGACGCTGGACGACGGGCGCCAGGTCGGTCGGAGGACACCGGGGCGGGGATGGGAGGCCGAGCCGGAGCTCTCCCGAAGTGTTTGCTACTGCGAACGACGCGTGGGGTGTGATGTGGGTTTAGAGCAGTCTGTCCGTGCTGTCGATAGTGAATACGGTTTGCCACCAGCGCTGTCTGGTCTTGGCCGTACAGAGTCGCCTCAGTTTCTCATCGTGCGCAGTGTTCACCTTCAAATCGCCCATGGTCCCGCACAAGCTGACGGTGCCCGCTGTCAGCGTCAGCTGGCGGCGGACCACGTGGTCCGCTCCCGCCGCTGGTCCCGCGACAGCTGACCGTGCATGGTTTACTCGTCAGCTGACGGCGGACCACGTGGTCGTCTCGGTGGGCCTGGCGCCACGGACCGAGCTGGCCGCCACCTCCGGCCTGGAGCTGGACGACACGCACGGCGGCTACCGCGTCAACGCCGAGCTGGAGGCGCGCTCCAACCTCTGGGTGGTGCGTACAGCGCGGACCGCCCCCGGCCGCCGCATCCAGTCCTTCGGGTGTGCCGCCACCGGGCGCCCATCCCTCTCAAAGCAGAGTGTTATTGTCTGTTAATCAAAGCAGTGTTATTGTTTGGCTGTGCGGATCTGCCCTATGAAATGGATAATCGTGTCGTTTGTTCGTGATGTGCGCCTGACATGGAAAAAATGCGCGACTTGTTGGGAACTCGAGCCGTCTTTATCAGCCATAAGGATCGCTGAGCCGGACGTAGGTCGGTGCGGCTAACCCGGCCCCCTCACCGCCAGGCCGGGGATGCCGCCTGCTTCTTCGACGTCCAGCTGGGGCGGCGCCGTGTGGAGCACCATGACCACGCGGTCGTGTCGGGCCGGCTGGCCGGCGAGAACATGACCGGCGCAGGTAACGGGCCGCGCGCCAGACGAGTGGTGCGGGCAGGCTGCACTGCCGGCGGGCGGGGGTCGGTGTAGTCGGTACGCGCTCGGCTTCTGCCGGCACTCGATTGGCTACAGCTCATGGCAGATCGAGCCCAAACGTGAAGCGTGGAAACGGCACTAGCTGTGATGATAGATGCGGCGTTTCCCATGGTCGTGGGGTTGCGTTTTCTGCCGTGGTAGTACAAGGGCTTCGTGAACACGTGAACAGCTTCGTGAACTCCCGTGAACATTGCCGTACATCGCCGCCTGAGACGGTACTGCGCTTCAGCAGCCGCCTCGGCCTGTGTCGGTCGGGGCGTCCAGACGGCACCGCTCCTGACGCGCTCCCCCCCCCCTCGCCCCTCGCAGGGAAGCCGTACTGGCACCAGTCGATGTTCTGGTCCGATCTGGGGCCGGACGTGGGCTACGAGGCGATCGGTATCGTGGACGCCGCCCTGCCGACGGTCGGCGTGTTCGCCAAGGCCACGGCCAAGGACACGCCCCAGGCGGTGGTGGAGGCCACGGGCGAGGGCGTCCGCTCCGAGACAGAACAGGTGGGCGCCGCGGCGGCGTCGGCGGCGCCGCGCGCGGTGGCGGGCTGGCGGCGGCGCCCAGTGTGTCTCAATGGTGCGCAGTTCTGGTGCGGTGGAGGAATCCCTCGGTCACACTGATTGGTTTTGATATTGTGGGTTTTCGTTGGAGTTGCGTTTTATGAAGCAGAAACAAAAAGGAAAGAAGGAAGAAAAAGCAGACTGCAAACGATCCACGCCGTAAAATCATACGAACCCTTAAGTGGATCGCTCATGTAAGGTTTGCCGTTATCGTGACTGAAAAGGTTTGCTGGACTTGCAATTAAGCGGCGCTAGTTAGGAGACCTGGAACGGGAGCGTCGCTTAGCCCGATGCGCACAGAAAGGTCCGCTGGTAGCTGACCGGAGGCAGCCGAGTTGGCACGGGGAGCGTGGCACGTATGTCAATGGCCGGAAGCATAGCCCGTATGAGAGTGGCCGGGAGCATAGTTCGTGTGGGAATGGCCGGGAGCTTAGCTCGTATGAGAGTGGCCGGGAACATGGCCCATATGAGAATGGCGGGAACATAGCTCATATGAGAATGACCGGGGGCTTGGCTTGTACGGGAATGACCGGGGGCTTAGCTCGTATGAGAACGACCGGGAGCTTAGCTCGTATGAGAATGGCCGGGAGCTTAGCTCGTATGAGAATGGCTAGGAGCTTAGCTCGTATGAGAATGGCCGGGAGCATAGCTCGTCTGAGGACAGCTGGGGACGTAGCCCGTATGAGATTGGGCGCCCGAAATATGCAGTCCTGTGTGGTTTAAATAGCTAAGAAAAAAACAGTCTGGTGAACTAAAATTTGAAATATTTGCTAGTGGGCGCGGTGCACGCACCAAGCAGAGCTTGTAGTTTGCACCACAGGAGTACCCCGGAACACAAAACGACTACTCGCATTCTCTTGGATATATTTCTTAATTGAGAGAAAACCACACGATGTTGGTGCAATCCCGACATGCCCTCATAAAGTTCACGTCCCTTAAGCGCACTGCTGCGAAAGTACGCCTGCGCAATAAACTCGTGCTTTTGAAGCTCAGGCCACAGTGTACCATGCTCGCACTCGGTGCAGGCGTGCCTGTGAATCTGGTGGGCAGTGCAGGCGTGCCTGTGAGTCTGGTGGGCAGCGCAGGCGTGCGTGTGAGTCTGGTGGGCAGTGCAGGCGTGCCTGTGAGTCTGGCAGGCGTCTGACCGGCCGCCCGGTCCGTGTCTGGGCGCAGGCGGCGGAGTCGTTGCCGCAGACGGCCCCCACCGCGCCGCGGCCGCCCCGCCAGGGCGAGGAGTACGGCAAGGGCGTCGTGTTCTACACCAGGGACGACACCATCGTCGGCCTCGTCCTATGGAACGTGTTCAACAAGATGCCCACCGCCAGGAAGGTAGGCCGGCCGCAATGCGCCCGAGCTCAGGCGCGGTGTGGTGTCAGCCCTGCACACACGTCCGACGTTCAGTTACGTGCTTATTGGACATGCCGCCGCACCGCTTCTTGTGAATGGACGTTCACAAGTAACGGTGCAGCGTTTAAGTTCGCGGATGTGCCTGCGTATAAGTAATGGGCTGTGAGGGACTGCGTCAGTGTCAAGCAGGAGAAGCTGTGATGTGATGAAACGCAGCTTGTTCTTAAGTATGATATGGGCAATTCTGCCCCAGGTACGCTTCCAATGTAATTTTGATGGCATTGTTCGCTCGATTTGATGTAGGTATAGACTGTACTGTACGCCCTCTTTCAATTCGGTTTTCTTGTTTCGGGAACTGATCTTCCTCGCAGCCACGCGCGCATCGTACTTTAGAGACTTATCCTCCACTGTTCTTCGCTGTAGTCGGAACGTCTGTTTCAGATCATCAAGGAGGCGAGAAAGTCCGACGAAATCAGCGAGCTAGCCAAATTGTTCAGCCTATACGACTCAGAATGAGCGTCAGCGGGCTGTTAGTGCAAGCGACGCGGACTGGGCGGCGCTGGCGCGGCCACCAGCGGCGCACGGTCGCGCGCCGACCCGGCGGCGGCGGCGGCCTGTCGCCTGCCGGGCCGCTGCGGGGCGGCCGGCTGCTGATCGGCGGGGTGCCAGCCCCCCGGGCGTCCGCCTCCTGAGTACGCTGGTGGGACGCCGCGAGCGGCCGTGCCCGACTGCAGATGTGCCACGGTTGCGCTGTAGTTCGCTGGGCCGGCGCGCCCGGCCGCCAGCGGGCTCAAGATTGTCCGCTTTTGTATACTGTTGGTGTGTGGCTGTACGCCTTGTTACGTGTCGCGCGCACCCGATCCGTGACTCGCAATGCGGTGTCACAGGTGTGCTGCTGAAACTTACTTGTCGCAGGTGTGCTGGTGACTGCCTGTAGGGGGCCCGTGTGCCGCTGAAACTTACCTGATCGTAGTGATTGACCTACAGACGTGATGCATATATTGTAGACAGCACAATATATTTATATGGAGATGGATGCGCTGTTTGGATGAACACTCGTAATCCTGGGTCTAATGTTCGTCAGAGCGCGTTGTCGCTGTAAGCGGGGTCCTGGACCCCGTCTTTATTTTCATGGTGGTTTGAAACATTGCCCGGGTTATTCGATAGCACCGCCTCGTCCGTTGGTTTCTGGCCCTTGACGAGCTTGGCCACCCAATGCTGGGTCGACAAACCCACCGACTGTCCACTGTAGTGGTGCGAAGTCACGCTTCGACGCGAGACACTGCCGTGGAAGACACGCATTTAACATGGCTGAGCAGAGCGACTGGCCTATGTATGCCGTTGAGGGGGCGATTGACCTCAATGTTCCTGGTCACCGATGGTCCTCTTTTCTTTGGGTGGCAGATGTAAGGTCGGAAAAGAGCTTATCTAGGGCATCAATATGTCGGAAGTGACACCACGCCAATAGACAATACAAATTGCCTTATGAAATTACATCTGTGTGGTGAACGTCGACATACACAGCAGAAGTACGCACTGCGTTCGACGCATTCGCACATGAAAGACGGGCGCCACTGGGGGAATGGACTCCTCTTTGCGACTGACACATCAGTGGTGCAGCCAGTGCATACGATGCCTCTCAGTAAATAATGCGTGGCGAACAATCACTGTACGGAAATACTGTGCGAACTAAGCGACGGAAATTTTAATGTCTGATTCCGCTTTACCAAGAACTGGTTACACGTTTTGTTTACACCAAACGGTGGCACCCACCACAAGCTCGCGTTCATGTTTTTTTCTGTACATGTCCTTTGCCACGCGCCGGCTGCCATGCACCCGCGGGTCACGTGAGGGTGCCTGTTTCCTCGCCACCCGTTGGCCCGGCCCTTGCCCATTCCACAGCTACCAACAGCTGCTCGCCGCATTGATTATGGCGTCGGCGCGCGGCGTATATCCGGCGGCGGCCGATGACGTCAGCACATGCCGGCCGGCCGCAGTATGGGCAACTACTGGCCGGGATTTCTCAGCGACAGGTGTGTCCGCCCGTCGGGCACGGCCGTCACTCGGCCGCACGGCCGGCTCCGGCCCGGTGCGCCGCAGCCGGCCGGCAGGGGGCCACGGGCGGTGGGCGCAGGGGACTGAGACGCGCTCGTTGAATGAAGAAGAGGGAGAATTGGAAAGGACCGTGGACCCGGACTGTGCTTCGACGCTGCGGATTGTGTGCGGCCCACTGATTGTGCCTGGTGTTGGAACCGAGCTTTTCGGGCATAACGGTACTTGCTTTCCTTGCAGCGTAACGTAACTCAACGAAAGCGTACGGTGGATACACGCAGTAGACGAGTATCCACATATAAATATTTCAGCAAACCGCAATATTCGTTTGGGTTAGACACATTCTGTGCCATATTGGTCTGGTTGTCGCAGCCCATTGGAATATATGAGGTCAGCTCTTGTCAGCGAACCACCTCTCCGTAAACAGCGTTGCGCGTGGAACCAACAGTGTGGAACCACGTCCCCGAGGTTGGTGGGCAATTCAAGCTGCTTGGGTCCAAATCGAATCTGGAGGGGCAGCCAGAGTGGTGTTTGAATGATAAAAGGTGAAAACGTGTATTGTTCGGCCGACATTGGAAGGACAAAATCCAGATGTTGGAAATATTCAAGAAGACATGTGCCTGCCTGTGCCCCCGCCACCAGTGCTTACAACCACAGTGTCCAGAGACACATGGCATTATGTGCTCAATTCCTTGATCATTTTCTGATGGTCAGATTTGTTCGTGACACATAAATGCCAGACGTTCCAATATGTATTTCAGTGAGTTTTGCGTAACGCATGCTGTATTTTTCGCATCAATTTTCTAAGGCAATCGACTCACATATCCGGGGTGAACACACACAGTCACAGCGGACAACTCCGGTCTATTTCTTTTTCTTGCTGGGTTTCTCTGCTTGGACTTGTTCCTGTGCGGCGAGCATTTCCGACAGCCGGGTCCTGTAGTTCTCCCTCATCACGTCGGCGAAGGCGCGGGAGGTGACAACGGGCTTCTGTTCAGGGCGCGCGATACCAGTGTGAGCCAACTGAACAACGCGTACGCGTGATTCTTGGCTGCCGCCCCTGCGCTGTACGCGCAGCCGTTCGTTCCATGGCGCCGCCGCACGCGCTGTTCACCGTGTTCTACGCGCCGTATATCACATGCACGCGAGAGTCTCCAGCAGTAGTCCTATCGTGTTATCTATTAGCCAGGTATTCACAGCTTCAATTTTGTTTCAGCTGACGACCGACACGTCAAAAAACCAACCAACAAATAAAACGATGAGGATAAATATCTGGGGACCACTCTAACGAGGCGCACAGACAGACAGACCACTCTACGAGGCGCAAAGACAGACAGACCACTCTAACGGGGCGCAAAGACAGATAGATCACTCTAACTGGGCGCAAAGATAGACAGACCACTCTAACGAGGCGCAAAGACAGGCAGACCTCTCTAACGAGGCGCAAAGACAGACAGACCACTCCAACGAGGCGCAAAGACAGACAGACCACACTAACGAGGTGCAAAGTGCGCACGACTGAACACACGGCCTTTTTCTTGGCGTGTTAACAGGATCGCACGTTTCAAATCTCCACTGAATGATGGCGCATGCCAGGACAGAGCCGGAGGCCTCTGCCCCGGGTCGACTTACCATGGAGCCGTGCAGTGACGTCATCTGCTCTACCTTGGCCACCTCTCGGCCGCCATGTTCGCAGGACATGAACGTGTTGACGGCTGCCCAGCGCTGCGCGAACTGCCGAATCCGGTCCTCGTGAAGTGTATTTTGCTCCTCCTGCATGAAAATGAACACGAGACTGAAGGCTAAGCTGCTATCGGCCGAGTTCTGCTTTTCTCCCTCAGTTGCTAAGTACGTTTGTGAGGAGCATTATGCATATAGATGAGAGAATATTAATATCATTATTCCTCGTAGAATAAACAGGAGAGCAGATAGATACATGTGATATTTCGGCTACATGCTTGCATCGAAACAAATATCGGTAGTAAATTCAAAATTACCTGTTTATGTTCATTGACATTTATCGCCATTCTCCTTTTGGCCACGAGCGATAAGGCTTTTATTAATCCCTCATCTCTCTCAACGTCGGCGCGGATATCTGAGCCACTAAACCCTGGAGTTAATGGGAGCAACGCATGCTGTTGAGCTGCTTCCTGAAGTGTATGCGTGCTGAGGGCGCACAAACTACAAGAACGACTACGCGACGCTTTCATTACGACTGCTTTTACTGTGAAGTGGGATCTCAGCTGCCAGTAGTGCTGAGGTCCCACTGAGGTCCCACACTAACAGCCCTGCTGCAGTTAACTGCCCCGAACGCCACTTGCACGCTAGATTATTTGTGGTGTCCCTAGGCGATGGTCGCTGGTTGTGCATAACCGAGAGAACAGGCTTGATAGGACTCCATTGCTGTCTGGAATATAACCTCGGTCCATACAGACCTTGTACTTGTCGTCGTTGAACCGGATGCGGGTGGGTTCGTCTCGCTGGAACTGCTCCGTGTCCACCTCCTGCAGCACGAACGCCGGTGGCAGCTGAGGCTCAACGAACAGCGGCTCCTGCTCCGGTTCCTGCTCCTGCTCCAACTCTGGCTCGGGCTCCGGCTCCGGCTCCGGCTCGGGTTCCGCCTCCGGCTCCAGCTCTGGCTCCTGCTGCGGCTCCGGCTGCGGCTCCACCACCCTGCCTTCCGCATCAGCTTGAAGCTCGAACTCTTCCGAAGCGCCTAACATGCGAATCCGGTCAACCGGTCCAGGTTACACCGACATGAATGCCATCGCCTGTAATTGCAGTTGTTGCGATGATAGCATGCGTGTCGTCGCCTGCAGCTGCAGATGGTACAAATGTGCGGCCGTATTCCGTCCACATCCCCTGCCTTGCAGTTGGTTGCGATGGGTACCATGAACTGACTTACAGGGGCTAGATGCTAACTCCCAAGTAAGCGGTCTATTTGTCAACCTTATGTTCACGCAGGCGTGCTTAACACGACATAACCCTTCTCTTCGCTGTATTATGAGGCTCGCGTACATTTCAATACGTATGAACCGGGGCGCGCCTGAATTATTGTCCCTCTCACTCGTCCGTGTGGCCGCCTTTCCTCACGCGTACCGGGCGAGGCGCGGGGCGCCGCCTCCGAGTGCACCGCCGACAGCTCGTCCGCCTCGTGAGATGATGCTGCCGGCGCCGAGTGGTCCCGGGGTAGCCGACACGTCTTCTGGTCCAGGTACTGCTCAGGGTCAACAGCCATCCACGGTTACAAATTACAAGTGGCTCCCACCTGTTGGCTGTGCGTTGCAGTTTTAGATGCTCGGAAACGGGGCGCCGCGTCAAAATTTCGAACACCGTGGGCTCAAACCGGGGCCTGGCATAGATTCGGTACGCCCAAGCTTTGGCTGAAAGAAAATATCGAAGATAATTTGCGAAACTGTGAGCCATGTGAAAGATTATAAACGGGCAAACATATGATCATGCTCTCAGCATCAAATTACAGTAGCTAGAATAGATTGGCTTCTATGGTATCAGCGCAAGTATACGCCACATTTACGTCAGCTGTGCGGTATCGGAGTCATGCATGAAAATCATGGGCTGTTACCAAGGCTCGAACCTGAGCCATCAAAGCCAAACTGGGTAACTGCACATAGCTGGCATCCATAGTTTCATCGCAGGAGTATGTAGATATTGCATCTTTTCCTGAGTTCCCACACGATAAAAAGGCTGCGATGCAGTGAACATTGCTACCTTCGGTACCGCTTATTGAAAGGCCCTGGTCAGTTCGCGAGGTGGTTATGCAAAACCGAGACCCGCATGTAATGATGCTGCCTTGCTTCATGAGCTATTGTGGAGCGGTCCAATTTTGCACGCCAGCCCACCGGATACGTGTCCTAGAGCACGTCCCCTATAACAGCCAAGCTATTCCTGGCGTCGTCAGCTAGGCAGGCATGCGCACGATCACGACATCCGTGTCGAACCGCTGACTGTCCGCGGCTGGCGGCGCGGCCCGTGCTGACCTCGAGCCGAGTCTTGCGCGCCCTGTCCCCTCGACCAGCGTCGGCCGTCTCCCAGGCAGACTTCTCCAGCTTGATGGCGTTGATGCGGTCACGGTTGTGCAAGAGCTCGATGTCATCCTGGGAGAGGCGGCAGTAGTGGCGAGTTACTTGTGAATGCATAGCAGGGGGACGGTGATCACAATGGTCGCAAGTGACACTACGCCAAAGCACCAACTGCCACAATTTCAAGGAGCAATGGGAGAAAACATACAATATAAATACAGAACATGAAAACATCAGGGCGATTGTGGACGGCAGACGTACTGCGTGCACCTTCATGACATCGTCAGAGCCGCCTCTTAGGGCCTGCTCCACATAGATTCCCTCACGGGTCTGCTCCACAATGTAAATAGTCCGCGGAAGACGCTCTCCATGGCAGAGAATGCACGCCGCCCTGACCCATGTCAGCTGGACCAGGTCGGTGACGTACTGCATGCTGCTCGGCGCTCACGAGGCGCAGTGTCAGGTGCGGTCGGCTGGTGTCCAGGTCAGCCCGGCTCCGGACCGGCTCGGGCGTTGGGACTGCCGGCCCGCGAAAGACCGGGGTCGCCGCTGCCGGCAGACCAGGAAGCGACCGTCAACGTCGCTGCACAGTTAGTCACCGCCGCAGCCCGCCGCTGCCGGCAGACCAGGAGGTGGCCGTCAACGCCGCTGTACAGTTGAATACCGCCACAGCCCGCCGCTGCCGGCAGACCAGGAAGCGACCGTCAACGCCGCTGCACAGTTAATCACCGCCGCAGCCCGCCGCTGCCGGCAGACCAGGAGGTGGCCGTCAACGCCGCTGCACAGTTAATCACCGCCGCAGCGCAGTTGGCCAGCGCCACAGCGCAGTTCTCCAACACCGCAGCGCAGCTGGCCACCGCCGCAGCGCAGTTGGCCACCGCCGCTGCACAGTCAATCGCCGCCGCAGCGTAGTTGGCCACCGCCGCAGCGTAGTTGGCCACCGCCGCAGCGCAGTTGGCCACCGCCGCAGCGGCTCGCGGCCGGGACCGGGCACGTGACCTGAAAACACCGGCCTGAAAATCAGCAGCGCCTCACGGGCCCACATCAGTGACAGCTGCTTGGGTGAACCCCTGAGAAAACCGACTGGAATGCATTCTTGCGTTCAGCGCAGAGGGCGTTTTCTATTCGGAGTCTTGGACGCATCGACCGTCTCACATCACCTGGTGCCTGACGCCGGTACGCGTGGTCTGGTCAGCACAGAATCTCACAGCCGCCTGGAGGTCTCCTGCTGTGGCAGCACCTTGGGCGCCGGGGCCGCGGACAGCCTGACACTTGCCACTGCACAGGCCACCGTCACGGAGTCTGCCGTCAGCGTTACGAAGTCTGTCGTCAGCGTTACGAAATCTGTCGCCAACGTCACGAAGTATGTCGTCAGGGCACGACGCTGCGTGACAGCCAGCCGGTCTGGCCGCGTGGGGACTCACAGTATGCCGAGCGCCACCAGTTCCAGGAGACCGGGGCGAGACCGCCGACCCCGTCCTGGAGGCCACAGACGACAGCCAGATCGCCTAAGAGATCGACGTCTCCATTGACGTGACCATCAAGTGTGACTGCATGACTGAGACAGGCTACGACGTGCCGCTGGGCGGACCCGTGTAGAAAGGCTGATGGCCACATCAGCGGTTACATGTTCATCTGCCCGAACGACGACCACGCGTCGATGCACGCAGCAGACGTGAGGCGGCCTGCGGTCTCTGGCTGAAGTCACCCAGGTGGGCATCGGTGGAGCAGGCGGCGACAACTTGACTATCAGAGTGATTCTGCCGGGGGAGCGACGCCTGGGTCGCCAGTCCAAGACCGCTCTGCGATCAGTATTGGCGTCACTGCACCAGGCAGCAGCCACAAAGTACTTGCGTGCATTCTTTTCTCGACGCCGTCAATGGCGATGCATTTCTCTAGTGGCCGACGAGCCCTAGCAGTGGTCACCACACTGGATGCTGTCCGATCCTACGCGCCATTTGTTTCGCACATTCTGGAAGAAGTACATGACTCAACATGCACGTTTGCACGGACGAGATATTTTCAACATTCCATGCTTTCATGAGTTGTCTTGCTTCTTCATTTCTGTTTCTTACCGCTGAGTGATTCCTACTTGCAAGAAGATGTCAAGTTGACGGTTCTGATTTTCAAAAATAATAATTGCCTATGTGTTGCTCAACCGGACCATAAAAGAATCTGCATGTTACTATCCTTTTCTAAATGGCTCACAAATCTGTAAGGGCTGCCACTTGAAGACAGGAAAAAAAACAGAGCACGCTCGCTTTGGCCAAGGTCATCCATCAGCATCAGCGCATTCGTTCTTGCTTTAACGAGCTGCCTTGATCACCGGGTTGACCGACCCCGTATTCCTCGTCTTGTGCCCCGCCATTCCCGACACCATGTCGCCTCAAGCTTTGACGCTGACCCTACTCGTGGTGATGACGTTCCGGTGCCGGTGCCGCAAGCTCAAGGAGCTGGAGATGATCAGCTGCGCCGAGCGGAACCGCCTGGTGGGAATCGCCAAGCACGACCGGGTGGTGACGGTGGAGCGGCTGCCCGGCTCCGTGGTCAGCCTCACCTGCCAGTTTTGCGGCGAACGTGACGACGGCGCCGCCAAGCGCTGGTACAAGACCAACGACCTGTGGTGCGTGGACGTGGCCGGGCAGGCCGTGGACGTGGGCGTCGGCAAGGCGCGCATCACGATCGGCCGCGACCACACGCTCGTCATCCGCGAGCTGGACGTCAATGACACGGGCATGTACTACTGCTACGACCGCTACCACGCCGACGACCAGCACAAGTTCATCTACACGGTGGACATGCTGTTCCCGGCGCAGACGCCGCCAGTCGAGGGCTCGACGGATCGCGACCTCAAGGCGTACACCGCAAAGTATATCAACAAGACCACCAAGTTCAAGCTGAAGACGTACTGGCGGTTCAAGGACATCGAGCTGTACCTGTCGTGGGCGCCGTGGTCGTCGTGTCACGGCTGCAAGGGCCAGCCGGGCCAGATGTGGCGGATGGGCACGCTGCGACAGCGGCACGTCGACTACGAGCAGAGCAAGCTGGTCAACTCGCGCGGTAGCACTTCCGTGTCATACAAAGTTGGCCTGGCCGCCCGCTCCATGCACATCTTCCTGCACGAGAAGCAGCTGAGCCTGGTGCTGCGCGAGCTGCCCGACTACCTGCAGCGGCGCAATTGCTCCAACCCGCGCCGCTGCAAGAGCAAGAAACGCGCCGCTGACTCGCTGCGCGAGCGTTCGTTCCTGGCCAAGCTGGGGCCGGCGCCGCGCCAGAGGTTCACCGCGGAGGTGTTCGAGGCGGACCCGGCCATACTCGAGTGCCCGTGGCCGCCGGAGAAGACGATGCGCCAAAAGCTGCGCCGCATCGTCTCCGAAACGACCATCGGCAGCATGCTGGGCGTGCACATGGACCGGCCGCGCGACCGCGACATTGCCTGGTTTTACTACAACCGCGCCGTCAACCGGTCGTCGGTGTTCGCCGAGAGCGGGCACCGGATCCGCGTGTCGCGCGACGGACGCCTCATGATCGCGTCAGTGCGCCGCGACGACCGCGGTCGCTACAGCTGCGCCGAGGACGGCATCGAGTTGGCCGTCATCCAGCTAAAGATCAAGCCCACCTACAGCCTGCGCCAGTCGTACACATCGTTCCGCGTCCTCGGCGCCAGCTTCGTTCTGGACCTAGCCATGTTCGTGTTCTTCCTGACGGTGCTGTACCGGCAGCGGCGCGTGCAGCGGCTGCTGGCGGGCGCCAGGTGGCGCCACGAGCAGCGCCAGGAGCGGCGCCGTGAGAAGGGTCGCAAGCGTCGCTTCCTGCTGCAGCAGCGGCGCCAGCTGACGGCCGATCGGGATCAGCTGACGGCGGCCGGCGTCAGTCCCGACGAGGTGATGCACCTGCTGAGCGAGACGCTCCTCAAGGAGGACGACGAGGACGAGGACGACGCCGAGGAGGGCGACGAAGATGAGGAGGCGGATGATGAAGACGAAGAGGACGAAGACGAGGACAATGAAGAGGGGGAAGATGAAGAAGGGGATGAGGCCGATGAGGGACAGGTATGAATTCTTCGAGCATGCTGCAGTTGTGAAGACCATATCCCACTAACTCTAAGTGAAGGGCATCTGTCTTCCGTGCCCACCGATGCGTAGCGCTACAGCCATGGCGTGTGTGGTACGTGATGTATGTCGCAAAAGCACACATCACTTGCGCGCATGTGCGTAAGCGCTCACACTCGCGCACTCTTATCAGTAGAATGTTCATCACACAGACGGCATATATCCAAGATATTAGACGAGAAAGAAACACCGGGATAGCCGTTACCACTGACAACGAAGGTATGTTACATAGCACAGCGCACCGCAGATGGGTGCTGCCGAAACCTGCGGATGCTTTGTTGCGTTTGCGGGTACGCTGCAATGCTAGCTTTCCTGCCAATAAGACGCACAACGCGTAGCATTTTAACCGTGACCACGTGTGGTGTTGTGACAACTGCACCTTAAATGCGGCGCATCTGGAAGTGGTATTGTCACCTAGTGTTGCAGTCTTGGCTGGTGTTCATATGTTCTAGTATGCTAGCATATTCGAGTGCAAACATAAGTCTATTTAGTGTTTTTATTTTCGTGTCAACAGACAGGCTCGTTCGTGCGATGCATCCTTTCGTGTGACACAAACGTGGAACGTTCATCATCAGTTTTAAACATTAACACTTATCACTCACCTGCATTGTTTTTGGTTTTATTTGACGCCGGCGATTTGCTGCGACCCTTCTTCGTTTTCTTAGCAGAAGTCAGCACCACTTGGGACCTGAACTCAAAGGGGCCGAAAACTGTGAAACGGGATGGATGTAGTTAAAAATGATTGTTTCATTCAAAAACTGCGGTGGCATTCTGGATCTCATCGCTTGAATTGGCTGGCTATCGAACTCTTATTTTAATGAGGAATTCCACGCGGCATTGTGCGCTCCTAAATCGCCTGGATTTCGGTGGAAAGGTGGTAGAGGAACACCAATGTTGCCTCCCCGACCCAAATTTCGGTGTCAGTGGTTTCAAAAAACATGCACGATTTCTGTTATAATAATCGGGTTAAAAAATACGCAGTATTCGGAGAGCAAAACGGCAGTTTGCTTGATTTTCGGTGCCACACGATTTTGAGCATTTTTGGTCAAATTGCTGAGTAACTGCGTTAAATATGGACATGTTCTTCTAACTGCCATATCTACTGAATAAACTGCCATAATCAGTAGGAATCGAATTTGTCTGCTGGTGGAAGTTATCACCACAGTTACTTCACTTGTATGAATTAACAGTTCAATAGGCATGCACAACAATGTTGGAATAGGCATGAGAAAGTGAACAATATTGAAGTAGATCTTCTTCACAGAGGTAAATTTAAACAACACATTCACGCCCTGTTTATGAAAAATACAACATCGGCAAAAATGATCAGTAAATTTCACGTAAAGGCAAAGCTTCGACGTTCGTAATCCCATGTCCAAATGGATTATTTTGAATGCAAACATGGACCTGAATACTGGAGAAAGAAAAACAAAAAGTGGAAAACAAGTTGTCAATATAAGCAAAGAATACCATGTCTGTTTCCCGCCCTCCCTCCCCGCAAGCTGGTCGCGGTAATGAAATCGGAACCCGTCATTGTAACCATGCGTTTCTTAGGAGTTAAAGAAGAAGAAGATTTAAACGCTCCAATGTCCCGCATACGAAGAAAGCATTTACAAAAAGCATACAACACTCGTTCAAAAGTGGTTGTTTTTCAACAGCCTTGTGGTCTGTATTCACACGTGGTATTCTCCAAGGTTATCCGACCCCGCGACCACATCACGTTCAGGTCAATGCGCCACGAAGGACATCCGTTCTCCCTGACTATCTACGTGGACGGCTGTGACGTGACTAGAGTGAGCCAGTGTTGTGAGTACCGCCGCCAGTGCGGTGAGCACATCGGGGGCCCACACGGCCACTTCATTATGGTGGATGTGGAGGGAGGCTACCCATGCTCGCGCTGCATGGCTGCCAGGGACTACCGACTGCAGCGCCAGGAGAAGGTCTTCCGCAAGCTGGACCGGCAGCTGCACGACACCGTTCAGGCGGCGCGCAGCAAGATCAAGGCACTGGAGAAGGACTACCGGGCCGACATAAACTCCCAAAAATCTCTGAGCAGGCGCTCCACGTCCGCCAGCTTGGGCAGCGGCCTGTCACCAAAGCAGGTGGTATCGGTGGTCGTGTCATCGACCAAGAGGAGATCCTCCACTGGGGCGGAAGAGGTCAGTGTGAGTGCCGCAGGTGAGGACAGCGGAGGTGAGAGTGACAGCGGCAGCGTCAGCGGCAGCGGCAGTGGCAGCGGCAGCGGCAGTGGAAGCGGAACCGGCAGCAGTGGGGGGTCAGGGTCCGCGTCGGCCAGCAGCACCGGCAGAAGCGACGACGACTCAGGCAGTGGAAGCGACTCTGGATCAGACAGCGACTCGGCATCCGATGAGTAGCGACAGATCATAAACAAATAGGTTGTACTTGGCCTGCTTGACGGGCTCCGGTCTCAAAGTTAAATCAATAAGTCCAGTTTATGCAGACAGCATGAACTCAATTTAAGGATCTGTATTATCTGGGAGTCAAGTTTCCAGTTGGTGTATATGTCTTATCGGGCAATTGTTAATATGTACATGTTTTATAAGACAATTTTGACCCGCAGCACAAATTTTGGAGTTGATGAGCCGACCTGACAGACGCAACGACTCAAGAGCATTTGATTGTTCGTATTTGGCATGGCATTTCTCCGAATCAATTCCAATGTTTACGTGTATACGTGCCAAGTATTTTGGTCGCCATGTTCCATGACACGGGGAAATTTTGCTTCATACATACCAGCATGCAAATTTGGAAGTGATTTGCTATCCATGCTGTCCTGAGTGTACAATCGTTTCCTGAAGGTGAGATCCCAGGCGACAAAGGCCGCCCGCGCTCTATCGGAAAACAACTGCTACCCTGCGGACGCTTTACCGGGTTAGCGGGGGGGGGGGGGGGGGGGAGAGAGGGCGGGGAGCAACACTCACTGTACTGCTGGGCGACGCTGACCTGCGTCAGTTTGTTCACGAACTCCCACTGGGCGCGCGTCAGCGGCCAGGAGTCGCGCCGCACGCGGCCCACCAGCCGGTAGCGGTCCCAGTGCTCGGGCCGCGCCTGCCTGTCGGCCAGCTCCGAGCTGCTGCCGCCCCCGCCGCCGCCGCCGGACCCGCCACCAGGCGGCCAGCGGTCCTGGTCGGAGGGACGCGATCGCCCGCGCGACTTGGCGGTGCCCTTCCTGCCTGTCGTCTGGTCCGCCGCCTGCGTCCGTTCTCTCTGCGACGAAGCGGTGCGGACGGTCAGGCCGGCCATGGAGGCTGGGTACGGGCGATCAGGTCAGGTGTGGAGGCTGGGTACGGACGATCAGGTCAGGTGTGGAGGCCGGTTACGGGCGATCAGGTCAGGTGTGGAGGCTGGTTACGGGCGATCAGGTCAGGTGTGGAGGCTGGTTACGGGCGATCAGGTCAGGTTTGGAGGCTGTTTACGGACGATCAGATCAGGTGTGAGGGCCGGTTACGGATAAGCAGCGCACAACACATCAGAGGCGGCGCGACATGGAGGCAGAAGGGTACGAGTATGCTTTTGCCCTGGCCTTAAATTCTTGAGAGATGCTTTTTCCAAACTAAAGGCATTACGACTATCAGGACATCACCAAATTGTAGATCAAGGAAAATCCTATGAGTGAGCTAAATAGTGATAAAAGGAGCTCAGAAGACCTTTTTATTCAATACGAAGCCGGTTTTCTGGATCATGAGGCCACCTTTATGAATGAGGTTGCCCGTGATCTAGATAAGGAAGCCCAATGCTGTGTTAAGAATGTCCGTTTGCTGGCTCAGGAGGCTTCCGTTACAGAGAAGGAGGCTCTGTACTGTGTTAGCAGGCACTCTCTATATTCAGGAGTCCCCATTTCTAGGAAAGCAGGGCCCTCTGATGCCCCAGATGGCCGCGATTTCAAATCAGGAGGCCTTGTGTTAGGGATATCGAGGCCCTTTGGCTATATTGAGGCCTCCTTCGTGAATCGCAAGCGTCTGTTCTGGGTTTGGATTTGGAAGCCCCTATATGCATCAAGAGACCATTTTTACAACAGGTGGTCCTGTTTTATGTTACCGAGACCTTCGGTTGGATAATCATAAGGCCCCTATGCTGAACGTTTTAACTCTCGACAGGAAATTGCTCGAACATGGTACATTTCACAGCTTGGTAAAAAAGCCAATGTCCTCTGAATTCCTCCCTTGAATGCGGCACTTCCTATGGGACCTCCCGTGAGGAGGTCCTGTTTTGTCCAGGAGGCCGGCTTGAAAATCTTGCCCCCAACTCAAGATCGGTGTCGCTGCCTGTGTAGCACGGCTACAGCATAAGATGACTGCAGTCAATAAAATTATTCAAACGGATACGCGACGCAGACGACAGCAAAGTTAGCACCTTATATGCCGACATCTTTCTTTTCTTGTCCCTCGGGGCTGAGGGCACAAACGGATCCTCGCCGTCCAGCGTGAACAGGGGGATGACGGCCTGACCCAGGCCTTCCACGAAAGCCACCAGTTTATCTGCCACACAGAAATAACACAGTCAACATCGGATGCGGCAACACAAGTAAAATAAGACCCATCTCACCAGCCATCAATGATTACGACATACGCGGAAACGCAGAAATCATGGTCTGTTAAATTAGAGCGAAGCGGCAGAAAAACGCGGCAAAGTTCAGACTGGTGTGGAACATAGTTGCGGTACCGGAGTGCCACTGCAGCACGATGGTGCCGCACCCTGGCCTGGTCTGGCTCAATGGAATGATATCAGACTGTCACTCCAGCACGATGGTGCCGCACCCAGGCCTGACATGACCTTTGCTTTAAGACAGCCTGAGGGCCTTCCCTACTGAGCGCCTATCATGTGTCTGACCGGCCAATTAACGACAATAAAATCCTCTTATCTCAGTCGCCATGTCAAAAATGCGCCTGATTGATTTCTGTGTTTGTATACTCCGCATGTGATACTTAACGTACTACCTGCGATGCCTTGTTGCTCGTTGACCAACATTTCAGCCAGATTTGACTCAATACCTCAGGTTGAAAAAATAATCCCGTTTCCTTTGACCTTGACCATCATCCCTTGCATGTCCCCCTCCAGGCTCGGCTCAGGTTAAATCTGCCCTTCAGGCTCGACTCAGGTTAAGCCTGAGTCGAGCCTTAAGCCCTCTCAACCATAAGCTCGTCTCAAATCAATATGTCCACAGAGACGTACTGCGTAAGCCGACCAATTAGAAGGCGGCCGGCCGGTCATGCGTCCGATAGGTCAGGACCCAACAGACGGCTTTTCGGCTTTGATCCTGTCATGAGGCACGGCCTGTGGCGTGCTCCGCGGCGCGCATCAAGCAAGACGATTCTTGGAACTGGCACTTGGCCTGCCCAACTTTTCAAGGAGTCAAATTTGAAGGAAACACTGACCGGCGGCTGACCCGACAGGGTATCGGCCGACCGACAGATTGCGATCGGCAGCTGACCCGACAGAGTATCGGCCGACCGACAGGTTACGATCGACAGCTGACCCGACACGGTGTCGGCCGACCGACAGGTTACGATCGGCAGGCGGCCAAGGAAAGGAAGCCGGGGTCTTGCGGCTTTTCAAAATGCTCCCGCACGCGGATCTACTGCGATGAAACATGGTGGTAGGATGGTGACCACCGCCAGGGACGACGGAAAAGGCACTTACATGAAGCCTCTTGTTTCACAAATTGTGGCACACGGCATGCGGATGTGCTACATTTGGACACACGTGTGGGCATAGTCCTCCCGCGTGAGTTCAACCGGTTGTACCAGTCGGTCAACTATGTTGATGCACTATGATTTGTTGGTTGTGGATTGCGTGCAATTTGTTTGGTAAGTTTTAAACATGGGTTTATTTCAGCACCAAAACGGTGTATATATCAAAACAATGTTTACTGGGACCAGAAGACCAGGATGGCAGTGCTCACTTTTTAAAAATACCTTTGGTTTTCAGGTATTTGGCGGCCTGAACGTTGAATGCTCTCGTTTCATTACTTGACAGACTTTTTGCAACTTAATGCGGCTTATCTGTGCTTTTCCACGATTTGGGATAGCTAGGTAGGTCATGGCAAGTTCTAGATCAGTTCCAGATCATCTTGAAGCCGACCTGGCTCATTTCTCTTCCCTATCACCTTGGTCAAAATTCTGAAGAACACTACGTCACGAGCTGCAGAGCTAAAGCTGGCTGCCTTTATTGGGTGACCTTTAGCACGCACCGATCGCGTTCGCTAGTTAAACTGGCCTCCGATTCGCAACCGTACGCGCAGGCGGTCTTGGATGGCCAAAAATGTCAAATATTGTATATTACCGGTACTTTATTACTTACACCCGTTATGAACCAGGTGACACAATGGCTTACCATATAGGTAAGCTTTAAAATTATGCTTTTTCAATCACTGAAGCAACATTCACGCAACGTGTTCACGTACCTGGAGTAACATTCACGACTGCGCATTGACATTATGCCAATGCGCAGTCGTGAACACAGCTGCAAATGAAGGGGACAGTTTTCATCAACGAAAACACACACGACTTCGGCAGTACACGTACCATTTGACCAAAGCGTTCTTGGGTGTAATGGACATATTGCAGCTTTCTGATAAAAGCAGCGGATTGACCAAAAGCTGACCAATTGCACGAAACATCACGAGAAACACCTTAGCTACCAAAACACTAATTAGTCATCGTGACGAGCTCTAATTGTCCTGCGTGACAAGAGAACTGAACCTCCATTGATTCTCACAAACAAAATTACTTTCAGGGTTGCGAATGTCCCTCTCTATAAGCTCTGAGGTTTGTTTTGATGAGAAAAAAACATGTCGCTACGAAAATATGCCCCCCTCTTTCCCGCCCAAACTAAGGAGACACGTAGGGAAGTGTTGTCCCAAAGCAGGATGTATGCGCAAGCGCGTGATGGAAGGCGATCATAATTCACAATTTTCCAATTAAAATCAATTTTAGCGTTCCACTAGCTCGCAAAATTATCGTATGGCGTGAAATGGCATCGCATTTATGAAATCCATAATCTTTTCAAGATATAACTCCATTTCTCAATACCGATACTTACATTTGATCGCTTGATGAGGAGATACACGCCCCAGGAGCCCTTGAATACGCCATTGCCCAAGAGGCTGCCTGTGAGGAGACCCCATTTTGTCCCGGAGACCCCTTGCAAAATTCTGCTCCAAACTCAAAATCCGCGGCGCCGCTCCTGAAAATAGGGTGAGGACATGCGAAAGGTTGAGGAGCTAAATTTAAGAATTCGGCAAACCAACGGATAGACGTTCGTCACTCTCAGCTAAGCCACAGCCACCGCACAGGCCATACTCTCATTGTCGAAGATCTGGACGTCCACGAGCGCCTTCTCGTGGCTGGCCTCCATCTGCAGTGTGAGCTGGTGTCCCCTGCCGGCCCTCATGTAGTAACTGTCGGCAGAGAGCGCCGCACATCGACAGCCTGCCACCGCCAGACGCTGAGCTTAGCCACAAGGCAAGAACCACGACCCACAGCCTGCAGTGTGCCAAGCGAACCACACACCGACATTACGGAATAGTTTTCCTTCCATTTTCCACATCACGGACAATTCGAAGCAAGTCATTGATCAGACGATATCTGTTGCATTTTCCAAATTCTTTGCACTATCTCGTTCTCTTCCTATTTATGAACTTCTTCATCTATGTCAATGCTAATCGCAGCCTGTATTTCTATCAAAATCGTCTATAAGACTGTGTTCAGCGTGACAACTATCACACCAAAATGTTATCATGCAGTCTGATCAGGAGCACCTACTCTCAAACGTCAGCACTGTCCACCAAATTGAATCGGAATAATTTGTCGACCACGAGGTTCTGCCACGTCAGCCGCGTGAGCAGCCGCCAGGCAAGCCCACGTGAGCCAGGCCAGCCGTCGCAAGGCATGGTCACATGAGTCCTGGATTGACCACGAGGTGGGGGACCGGTGGCGCTAACAGCGCAGTGCCTGTTTATGAACATTCACGGTTCCGGCCGCGTTCCGATTGGAGGAGCCTGGAGCAGGCCTCGCTGCCCACCTGAACACGACCTCGTCCGGCCGCGGCACGTAGTAGTCCCGGATCTCCATGGTGACAAAGGTGGAAGAGCAGGCGGCCACCTGAATCAGCTTGTTGTTGGAGAACATGCTGAGGTCGCGGACCTGGTCCAGGAGCCAGCACGTCCAGTGGCCGCCGGGGGGTGGGTCGTGCCGGGCCAGGCCCTCGGCCACCAGGCAGTACCCCTCCTATGCGACGAGGAAACACTGTCTCAGCACGCCCAGTGACGGCTGTAAACACGTGCTGGCGCAGGCAAGCATGGGTTGGAGTCCCAAAACCCGTGTCTGATTCCGCACGCGAGTCGTGGTGCCTCCGCTGTGAGTTCCGAGCCCTGCTTGGTGATATCGCAGCAGTCCGAGTCCGAGTACATCAGCATCACTGCACACAATTCCATGTGCGAGCCCTGGGACCTTGGGTCAGATCCCGAGTTCAAGTCAGTAAGACTCAGAACCATAGTGCTCGTACACAGATCCGCGTCCGTGATCCAGAACCTCTAGTTCGATTTTGAACCCGTCAGTTTGCACAAAGATCGTGCGTGATACAGATTGAGATGGACTAAGATCGTAGGGGGTCATAGCTTAACCTAACCTCGCATGTTAGCAGCACGTGACATATCCCATGGCATAACATGTATCATACGATATGTCACGTGCCCGCGTTTTTGTGTTGCACGAAACTTATTCCAAGTTAGCTTTTTCACGAAGATCTTTGCGGTTGCGATTTTTGCTGTGCTTTGTTGCCTTGTGAGATGCTTGTGATACGATCTCCATCACCCAGTCTGATTTGCGTTATGCAGTTTGCATTTGAGAGGAATCAGGATCTGAATCGTGGGCCGCCAAATATTTGTGCGAGCATCTTTCATCTAGGATCGCGATTGGGTTCGATTATGTTTTTATGTCTACCTTCTGTAAAAGCAAGACACCGAACCTGAATACCCCAAGAAACAATCCTAATGTCCCCAGAGACCGGTTTGGCCCAAACCCACGCTTGGTAACCTCGCGGCATTACTTCAAGGAGCGTCCCTCATGTCTGCGCCTAATCAAACCGATGATGACCCTTCTCCTCGTATACAATCGTACAAAAAACATAATATTTATTTGAAAACGTATCTTGACGAGATTACTTGAAAATATGACCCGACGCCCTTTCACCTGCGTTTTCGTCGCTTCGATTGGGTATCCCATGTGGCCGGGCGGGTCCAGGATGCACTTCTTCTCCATATCGACCAGGTGCATTCGAACCGGGAATCCGGCCGACACGAAAGGTCTCACCAACACCATCTGGTGTGCACAGCCGTAAACATGTTGAATTTTGAATGCAACCCAGCTGGGCGAACGACTACGTTGTCATTGTCAATCTTCACGGAATGTCCATCTTTGTTCAGGCTAAGTAACATGGTGATAGTGACAGTTCCGAACATAACATGCATATCAACTGTAAACTTAGTTACGAGACAAAAAAGATGATATCATTCCTTGAACTCAAAAAGGAAGGTTGCACCAATATAAGTTGCATAATACTTAAAAGATATTCATTAACATAACACACGCACAAACGCACACACACACACACACACACACACATACACACACACACACACACACATATATATATATATATATATATATATATATATATATATATATATGTAGTTTGTTGTACACCAAAGCAAAATCAGCGCTTATCGCTTTCTTAGTCGTTTGTTCGAGGCTTCGTATGGTGTGCTTGTCGTTTTCGGTGTGTCGGTATGGGATATTACCAATGTTTCTCCGGTGTCACGGGAATTCGTGCTACGGCAAAACTGTTACCGACAGCCGTGCTACGACATCAGTTATACGCTGCATTACTTTTACTGGAAAAAAACTTATACTGACGCTACTTATACGTGACATGACTTCTACTGCAAAAACTTACATGCGGCGTAAGTGGTGCGCGACAAAACGTATGCTTCAAATGACTTATGCACGTTATTACATCTACTGTAAAAACTTGAATAGCCTTTACTTATGTGTAACACTGCTTCTATCGTAAAAACTCATGCACGACATGAGTACTTCATGACAAAACGTATGTTGCGAAAACATATGCCAGTCATCTCTTCTCCAGTGAGGATCTATACTGTCTTTACTTATATGCGATATGATTTCTGCTGCAGCGAGTTAAATGTCATATAAGTCCTTCAAACCAGAACTTAAGAGCAATGGAAGAATTCCAGGTGAAGAAGCCTATACCATTTACATGACATAACGTCTACTGTACCTTCGCATTCTTTTCTTGTCAGCGATATGACTCCTCCGGCCAGTACTTATAAGAAACATTTGTACAAGATGATGCAGGCCAAAATTCACAAGTTGCAACCGTCAGTACTTCAACCCATAGGTTTAACCTCACACACATAGCCTGGAGAGAACGAACACATGACAGCGTTGGGTTGCGCTAATTGGGGATGCAAGTGCTCGCTCCATGATGTCGATGAATTATTGCTGCTCTAAATATTGCCATCGACAAATCCACGACAACAATAGTCCTATCCAACATTTCTTCTGAGAAAAAACATGTGGTGCGCTCTCGCATTGTTGCAATGCAAGTTTGAGGGGTTAAACAGGGAGTCACGACCAAACTTGCTCTAAAATGATAAAACATGGCGTTGGTCCTGAATGTGACACAGCCTCCTATAACAGATGAGAGGCAGATGCAGTCCCCGACTAAATCTAGCAACACGCCCTTGGATTGGTGATCACTGAAACGGGACACTACTTGTTCCACAATGACTTATGTAAAGCTTCCGAGCTGCACGACATAACTTATGCCCAGAATGTTATACCCGTCTCGGTATTTTGGTAATCAAATTTTAGCCTTTACCCCTGCGCCAAACACCACAGATCGGCCAAATCACGCATTATAATGAATAAATACTTTTCGTATCAGCACCAAGAACTTTTAATTGCAGCATTGCCCAGCCGGGGTTCCGCCCCAGCATGTGGCCTGTTCCCACACCCCTGCTAGGTGTCCGCGCATTTTGTATCCCAAGGCAAGCATAAACGGCAGATAAAGCGTTGCGAATGCGTTTAGACTATATACATTTTTGCAGCAAAAGTAATGCCAATTACTCATTTTTGAAGCACCGATTTTGTCACATAGCACTAATATAGCATTCGTGTCGTTGCAGCAGAAGCAATGTCATGTATAAACATCGGCTGCGTAATATTTTACAGTAGAGATAATGACGGGTACCCATAAGTTTTTGAAGCAGAAATTTGTAGTGCAGCACCAATGTAGCGTATGAATCTTTGCGGTAGAAGTAATGTCGCGTATAAGTGATAACTGTTCAAGCATTGGTAATAGGAGTAATGACGGGTTAAAATTTTGGCGGGATAAGTTCTGTCGTGTAGCCCCAATGTCATGTTTAAGTACTGACAGTAGAAGTAATGTCGTGGTACTCTTATCGCAAGGGGTTTTATTGCAGCACTGTCGTGGAGCCCCTTCACCCACATGTCACGGTTTCGATCGATTCAATGAACATTCTCTGGATGGAATATCACACTGTAAACACGCGCATATCTAAACGACGATACGCAGAACGTATATACAAGTTTGGTTGTTATCACATTTCTGCCAATCACTTTTTGAACCATTTGAAAAATAGCTTTTCTGATGCTGCATGAACTAATTCGAGGCACTCTTCTGTGCGGCTGAAGTTCGTCATTTGTAAAATCGATCATCCCAGCTAGACGAAACTAAAAGCTGTCTGTACTTGATAACGCTTGCAGCGTGAGCATGTGTAGAGTACATGTCAAAACGTTGACGTTTCGCTGTATGAGCAAGTTAAGCCATAAGATAGATAGATAGATAGAAGTGCTTACGTCACAAGTGGTGACATAGGGCTTTTCCAATGCTCCTCAGATCAGAGCTTTGCACAGATTTGTCAGCCAAGATTCACTGCACATACTAAACAGTGTAAACTACCAAATAACTATGCTTATTTCTAGTCGTAAGAATCGTGACTAGTCGCAGCATCTCGTGACGAACGTGATCAGTTTGCTGCGAAGCGTTTTAAAGCGTCGTTCCAGTTGAGGCGAATGGCCTCGATTGCTCGCCACGCGGTAATGCGTTGGGTTCAGTGCAAGGCTTTGGTCTGCCGTTGGTTACGTTCATGTCGTGAGAAGCTGACTAATTAGAAAAGCATAACCAATCATCAGCTTTTTAAGGTAAAAAACGTTACAAAACCTTGTCGATCTCAAAGGGTTGTTTGTAGATACCATAGCTGTAACCTCAGAAGTAAACGAAAGACGTTGGAGCGACGCGTGCTAAGGATTCACTGGGGCTATATCATGGGGCTACATATATATATATATATATATATATATATATATATATATATATATATATATCTATATCTATATCTATATATACAAGAAGAAAGGTACGAGCACTTCTCTTTATCTTTATCTATATCATTACATAGATACATAGATAAAAATATACATACATAATCTAAATTACAGCTATAAAACAGGGAAAGAACTATATGCTGAAAGAACCTGATCAGTCAGCGCGGTACCTCATCAGTCAACACGCGGAAGCCGAGCCGGAAGAGCAGGAACCAGCGCTGACCGGCCACCTCGGGCGTCGCTCCGTTGACCTCGGTCCGGTTAGCCGTGTGGAAGAGGTCGCCATAGAACTTGTACCGGTGCACCAGAGACCGGGTGGCGTCCAGCATGCGCCTGGGGGCGTGCCAGCACCGGTGAGACGGACACAAAGGAAGGGCGCGAAGGAGATGAGCGTCGCCACAGGTCGGGCCCCTTTTACAGCTAACGTGGAGCGCGTCGCCAAGAAGCACTTCGCGGGACGCCGCCGGCTCTCACGTTAGCGCACAGCGTCTATGACGAAATCAAGATAGATCTGTGGAATCCACCCGCGAGGCCACGGTCCTCATTGCACTGCCAGCTGCCTGTGCGCAGCGTCAGGACTCGGACGCGGGGTCGGCGCTCGTCGTCCCCGCTCACCCACTGGGTGCCTTGTGTGATTAGTGGTGTGGGAGCGTATGATTGAATGCCTTTTAGCCATGCGCCAAGCGTCTGAGCGTGTGAAAACACGCGTCGTGGTAATCCCCTCGTGTCGTAGCGTTAGATGCCCCGGAAACATGCGCTGTGAATACAGCGTTATCCATCATGAGACATCAGCTGTAAGTTTCATGTTGCGCTTCGCTCCCGCTCGCCAGTTTTAGTCTGAACTCCTACCACGGACCAAAAGCGTCCCTAACCCAGTCTGATGAACCTCCTACGGAGAACACCGCGTGAAACCATTGTATATAACCCCCCAGTCGGTCCGAGATCAGGCTTCGGCGGCTGCTCGGCCGCCACCCGGCTCACCTCAGTATCTCAGAGGCCAGCTGGTCGGCCTGCTGTTGCAGCTGGGGCGTGGCACGCGCCAGCTCGGCCTGCACGCGCTGGTGCTCGGACGTGCCGGCCCGGTGCGCGTGCAACATCCGTTTGGCCAGGATTTTCCGGGCGAACGCCTGCAGCTGGATGATGGCGGCCGACTCCGCAGCGCCGTAGCCCCTGCGCCGCGACAGGCGCCGACGGTGAGACGCACATGCGGCGGCAGTCAGTCGTATGTGTCCCACTTGGCAACAGAGACAGCCCCAACACACTGCGCGGGAGTCTGCAAACTACGCCACGATGAAAGATCGTATTCGCTTTGTGCATCCGGTCTTTGGCAGTCGGCAGTTGGGAACCGTTGCATTTGATGCTATCGGGAGCTATCGGGAAGCCGTTTTGGTTGGAAGTTCGCGTCCTACTGGCCTCATTGGCTTGGAAAGTTTCTGCAATTTACGAGGCCAGCCGGCCGAATCGACCAACATCCCGGCTAGGCCAGCCGCTATCACGATTGTCAACTGGAGCGGCGCCAGCGTGGCCGCGATAGCTGAAATATTCACATCCACATACATTTCACAAGCTCACAGTCCCGACCTTTGACACCCATCCTGCAGACATCAGGCCCAGGGACGCATCACGGCTTCAGAAAACAAGATCGATGGAGAGACAGATGGGCTTGGCGTAACTGTAATAAGGTATGCAAACGAATGTCTGTATCCGGGCACACCTAATAAACATTATATTCGTGCTATTAATAGGTTCGTTTTTATTTGATAAGCTTTTAGTTAGATTGTTTTCATCCTAGTTCGAAGACAGCCTTCTGCTCTAGAGCCACCATGACCTCAAGCGTCCAATATCTCTACAGTATACGGCGAGGTTTTTGTCTCGGCCACGTTTCTTTGGTCACTGGCCGCTACTTTGGTATCATATCTGGCCCAATACATCTGAGGAGCTGCTCGCCCCTAGTGTCGTCTCCATGGTGGTAAGCGCCTTGGTCCTCTCGCAGATCCGATGCTGATTGTCAGTTCATGGGAATAACACCCCAAAAATATCTTTAGGACCTAAAGAGTTATCAACTTTGCAGCAAAACTGGTTTTTGGGCGCAAAAAATTCGGCCAGGCTTTGGATCTGCAGGAGAAACTCGGCTGAGTCTCGACGGACGGCATTGCCGAATGCCGCGCGGTGGCGCTTTTACGTAAGGTACGCATTCTGGTGAGTCAGAGGCGCCGGCCCGCGAGTTCTGGGAGATACCCCAAACCTGACATCGTCACACACGGCAGGATGAGGATTTTTTGACTCTCGGTCACGCACTGAAACGCGAAGGAATCGCTCGTGTTGCCGGGCTACCACCTAGTATAACTCCCCTCCCCGTCACCTGATGCGACTAGCTGGTATGAGATTTGGCCGCGCGCTGTGGCGCCACCTACTACTTCGACGTCCATTGAGTACGGAATGGTCCGAGCCGTGTATGCGTGCGTGCGTGCGTGCGTGCGTGCGTGCGTGCGTGCGTGCGTGCGTACGTGCGCGCGCGCGCGCGCGCGCGCGTGTGTGTGTGTGTGTGTGTGTGTGTGTGTGTGTGTGTGTGTGTGTGTGTGTGTGTGTGTGTGTGTGTGTGTGTGTGTGTGTGTGTGTGTGTGTATGCGTGTGTGTTTCATTTGTAGCCCGTGACACCTTGCTTCAATGTTGTGATGTTGGACTTGAATAGTCACGAGTCCATCCTGGGTAGTCCAAATGCACATCAATGTCTATATATGTTATGGCAGGGGTCTCCTGCTGTGGCATGGTCTCCAGCACATTAGGTGTTCATCTTGTTGGGGCGTGCTGTAGTTCATGGCGATACCTCCATTTGGGAATCAACTGCACCTTCTTTTCGCTGGACTGGAGCATTCCGCTGCAGGCTTGCAGCTATCCATCTGACTTGCTTGACTCAGCTGTGCGCTTCGCTGGGCCGGTGCCCTCTCGGCGATCAAAATCAGACCTCTTGCCTCATCTGAACTCTCAGTCACCCCCGATACTTTTATGATGGAAGACTGCTGTCATTGATAATAGGTAGCTCTTGCAGCATGGTGCCTCCGGTGCATATAAGATTCTTTCATAACTGGGACGTCTTCCCGATCAGTGTTTTGCATGGTTGCTCGTGACCAGGCATTCTGGCCGCCCCATTGCTGCTAACCAGCCGCACCCAAGGCGCTGCGAGTCCCGTTCACTCAGTCTGTCTGGCGTCAAGGGTGGTCGAAAGTTTTGATCGCTCAGCCTGTTTGGCGACTGGGTGGCTGAAACCTTCGATCACTCAGCCTGCCTGACGACTGGGTGGCCAAAAGCTCTGTTTACTCAGCCTGCCTGACGACTGGGTGGGTGGCCGGCCGCCCGCTCCGCCTGGCCGGTGGGGCCGCCGTCCGCGGATACAGCTGCGGGCCAATATCGCCAGAAAACACCCCGTGCATGCTTCACACACTCCGCAGAAGCAGGAACGAGTGAGGCAAGGCAGACACCGAGTCCCTTTTGCAAATTACCTCGGGGTCTGTGACGAATGTAACTGCTTAGGCCATTGCTGCCTTTTAAGACTGATCTACTCATACTTTTTTCCCAGCATGGAAAAATTCCTATCGGTGCAAGAGATCATCTTACTGAACCGGAAAACACACCGCGGTGGGACGGAATAGCCCTGTAGCCCTCGACTGGGAACAACAATGTGCCCCATAGTGTTGTACTCAAGGGAGTCCCTTTAGCAGAAATAAATAAGGAATCTCAGTAGTGTTGAACGGAATGGGACGGAATGACGTCAAAACGCACAAGGCCATCCCAGGCTTCCTGAGAACGTTCATTGTTTTGCAGAATCGGCCAAAGAAACACGTATAACATGACAGATTAGACCCTGGGCACCGGGTGCCGCTAGTGTAGTGGTTAACGCGCTCGTGTCTGCGCCTGCCTTAACTACTGGACGTCTGGGAAACCACAGGTACAAGATTCGACTCCCCACGGTGTCCGCACTTCCCGCCAGGGTGAGAGGCTGGCGGAGCCATATATCCCCAACAACTGGGTGCGTCATAAAGCCCCAATGACAATCCCATCATCTCGGGGAATAAGGATAGCGATAGCTTAAGTCGCAGCTTTCGCAAAACCGAACGGCGTTGGCCACTGTAAGTAACGCCAAGGAACGGGCGCAGTACGCGCTTAAAACTTTGAGGTTGTCCTCTGGACAAGCTGGCAGTTACAGCAATACAGAAAATAGCGATTTTACCCTACTCTTCCAGTTCCACCACGAGATTCTAGCACCACTTTGCGGTACTGTAAAACTTATATGTTATCATCGTCAGTCTAAAAACCGCACAGGTGAAATATACGCCCGGAATATCTCTAAATGCACGATTTGGCGTCCAAATGCTCTCAAAGGTTCTTCTTTCAGATGGGTCACCATTTTCGTCCACCTGTTGGCCACGGTCCTGTTAAAGCCACGGGCTCAAGTTTCGCGGCCGAAGGAGACTACAACGCCTGGTGTCGAGTTTTTTGTTTCTAAGATACGCGGGCGCACATGCTCAAAACTACGTTGCATAATTTGTTCCACTTCTAAATTCTGGCTGAATGTTGAACATACTCAGACAAATGTGACTTGGCCATGTTAAGACAAACTGTTGACACATTTTGACCTTCAGTCTACATTTGCGGAATCCTTGCTATCTCCGTAAAACCCACATAAAGTTGTGACACAATTTTTGAGTTTCGTCTATTCAGAAGTGTCACTGGACGACTGTAAAATGAAGAGCATCGGACATTTAATTCATGCAGTCATTTAAAGTAGGATCTTGTCAGTTTATTTACCGTAAACTTCAGGCAGAATTGATCTCGCGGTAGTGTCTGGCCAATGCGCCTGTTATAGAAAGTAAAAATGTGTAATGAATAAATAATATATAAGTGAACATATATACATATATAAAAAGCATGACCTCAATAACCAATGCGTCATCTCCGGCGATTTTTTGGGGGGGAAACCCTCACACTATCAGGGAGCCTTTTGTCAACCCTGTGCCCCCTGGCAAGTCTCTGGCTGTGCCCCTGCTTACGATACTAAGCTCCCTTTTCGCTCCCCTTGTCCCCAACAGTACAGGCGACCAGCACCACCAGCAAATATCAGCCCCGGCTGTTGGCAGTACCGCAGACACGGTCCATCGCCAAGCCGGGTGGCCGCACGTCTCCTCACCTGCTGGCGACGTCGTCGGCGGCCGTGCGTCGCTCCGAGTCGTCGCGCGCCTGCTTGCCGCCGCGTTTGGCGGTTTGGGCGCTGCCCTTCGAGCCGACATCCTTCTTGGTCTGCGCCGGCCGCTTGCTCTTGGGCCGGTCTTTGGACGGCGCTGGGCTGGTGGCCCGCCGACACCGCATCGTCTGCTGCTGGGACGAGGCGCGGTCAGACGCGGCAGCCCGCCGCGCCGGGCGCGCTCCGACAAACACTGCGCCGCGTCAGGCCCAGCCGGAGCATTGTGCCGAGACACAAGCACGGGCTCTGCCGGTCGGGGCCGGCTATAAAGCCGCACAACCATAATGATGGGTGTTATAAATACATGCATGCCTTCGAAGATTTTGGTGATCATGGTGCTTTGCGTGACCTGTGACATTAGCGGTCATGCGACACATATTGACTCGACGATTCTTAGATGAGATTAAATGCAGCTATAAATTGCCACTTGAACTCTTATTACTATAATCACAGCTACAGGTGCGCACCATATCGGTGGCACCAGGGATCACTGATATGCTGATAGCGGTGACCCTGACTTACACACGGTATCCAGATTTGTTCCAGTCCGGAACGTACGCAGGAATTCGCAATGGTGGAACTATACAAAATTCCCTGAAATCCAAGGTTAGCGCACCGCAGGAACGCAAAATTCCTTTCATGGCATGAACTATGAAAAGTTCTTCATTTTTTCAGTTTTGTTAATCTCCCTCGAATATGAGTTGCCAACATGTATATACTTACATATTGATAGGTTTTGTAAAATGTTTGAAACGGGCGGAGGAGGGGGGGGGGGGGGGAGGACGCGCGCACTTGAAGACCAATACGTGCGATCCTATATTCAGCCGTGAAAAACATATATATCCCGTGCCTCGCACTCCCGGATGTCAGCGACAACCATGAGGCCGATCAGCCGCCGACTGACCGGCTATGGGTGCTCTCAATGCCTTCCAATGTAAACAGCGAACGGCAATCCAGCTTGTTTATCAGTTACTTGCGACTTTCTGTGAACACGCCCGCAAAGCAACCCAATCCACATGTGTGCAGCAGACGTACGTTTATGTTCATAAGGAAACAGCGCCAGGGAAAGACGGACTCGCTGTTCACGGTGCTGCCCAGCAGCTGCGGCAGCAGCTCGCACAAACACTGCAGGAACGTCTGGCGGATGTGGATGCAGATCATGAGCGGCTGGCATTCACAGGACATGTTCAGCAATACTTCGTGGTAATAAGACAGCCAGTCTCATCACCACCACTGCCGTCATGCGTTTCTCCAAAACATTTGCATTGCATACAGATTATGACATAAAAAACACGTTTGAACACTTCGAGAACGAGCGTGGAAGTCGTACTGTGAACGGTGTGAACGCTTTATACCTGCACTCTTCTTCGGAAGACAGGAATACTGGAAAGCGGAATGTCAAGCGAGCGTAAATCGGTTTTAAAGACCACTAATCGTTTTCACAATGGTTTAATGCGTTGAGAGCCTAAATTAGTTTTGAAATATTCCTATAAAGTTTCAGTATATACCAAACGCTCTGACAAGGAAATGACTGTTTACATGCAGTTGCATTTGATATAAGAGTTAACCCACACATACCCAACTAAAATTAAGTTAATGACACAAAATGACACTCTTTACAGACATTTTGCTCTCAGTCCATGTCTTTAGCTTGCCCCAATGCTAGGACAATATCTGGGCTGTTAATCAGCCGCGTCGATCTGTCGAAAGCGTTGGATGCTGGCTGTGTCGGCATTGTTCACATCTGTTCGGCGTGAAGCAAGGCGAGCTTCGAGCACAATTTAGTTCAAGTATCGTTCTCCATGGAGCATGTTTAGGTATGTAAGCCGCATGCCTATGAACAGAGACGCAGACAAGATATATAAGTTTTTTTTTGTCGCGTTGGTATCAGACATGCCACCGCATTTTTTTAAAGTTTCGAAAAGTCTGGATATCGAGGGATCTGGTATCACACCTTCCCATAACAGCATGATCTTGCAAATAGCCAACCAACCACATTTTAGCGGAAAACCACTAACAAAACTTGTGTCGTTAAAAAACAAAGGTTGAAAGCATTTTTTAAAAGTTTCGCACCATCATCCTTTGGTAAACGACCAGCATCTAAGATAAGTGTTAACCTCACATTCATTTTAATGATAGCACGGCTTAGCCTGAAATTTAATAAACGTTTATGAATCATTTGCATCAGCTCTTATTGCCGAATTCACCGGTTGCCATCAGACATTGTTGAGAGTGTTCCCTGAACAAGCCAAAAGCCCTGCATTTGATGCTGGTCTTACGCTCTGGCCGGACGGCTAACCTCCTGGTAGAAGACACGCAGCGCCTTCTCGTCCGGCTCTGTGACGGGGCAAAAGACCTGGTAGAGCGCCGTCATCCTCTCGCGGTATGTGCTGACGTTGCCAGAGCAGAAGTCCTGCATCATCTGCAGCAAGCCGTCGGCCACATCGCCTGCAACGGCGGCGGCGGTAGGAGGCGGCGGTCAGAGGAGCGGTGGAGCGGCCCGGCACATGATGGGCTCAGCTGGGCCGGCTGCAGCCACGTCAGGCTGAATCAACAAAGGCTGTCTGCTGCCCGCGCAGATGACATGGGAATTGGGAGACCAACGACAGAGTACACGGCACCGGCGACAGTCGTTGCCATATCGACACGTCCTGTTGGCCGCGCCCAACACAGCTGACTCCAGCCCCATCTGCCTGAGGCTCGGGCGATAGACAGATCTGGGGGAGGGGGAGGGGGGCGCTGGTCTCGCTTACTTCCAGTCTTCAGGTAGCGCAGCGGCGGCTCTGCCAGCCAGTGCAGCAGCTCCCGGACGGTGCCGCAGCGGAACTGACTGCTGGAGCCCAGCCGGAGCGCGAACCCGCGGCCAGAGGTCACCAGCAGCCGGGCCACGTGTCGCCTGGGCACAGAGCAGGCACGGTCGCCGGTCAGGGTCAGGTTGCGGCCAGAAACAGCACAGGACCCTGGAATGCGATGGCCAGTGCCACGCTGACTGTCGGCCAGATTTACGCCCGGATGGTGTGACTGTGCCCCGGACGTTCGCTGGGCGATGACAATCTAAAGACTTCACTGCGCGCTGGCGTGTCGCACGCGGTGCGTGGGCTACAGACCCGGGCTGGAGCCGGATGCTGCCGGAGTCGGGCGTCCTCCGCCCCAGGGCCAGCAGCACCGGGCCCGGCTGGGCGTCGCTCCAGCAGTACGCGGTGGCCACGACGGCTCCCCTGCGCTCCGGCGGCTCCGACTCCGGCTCCGGCTCGGCGGGAGCCGGCCCCGGCCCCGGCCCCGACTCTGGCTCCGGCTCCGGCACCGGCTCCGGCTCCGGCTCCGGCGGGGCGGCCAGCGACAGCGTGCCGCTGGCCAGCACGGACGGGTCCGCGCCCGGAGCGCTGTCACCGCTCTGCGTCACGGCGCTCCGGCCAGTGCGGATGCTGTGGTCGGTCGGCGACAGCGACTCGTCTGTCTGACGGTCAGCGACAGGGACCGTCACATAGTGACCGCCATGGCGTGGGTTGTTCTATGAAACGCACGGCCATATACTTCATTGTTTCCAGAAACTCACTAAAAACATTAAAGGTTTTGCTATAACTATAGTAACAAAAGAGGTTCTCTACATACCAGTTCTAGCACGAACTGCCTAGCTCTAGCACATGGCTTGAAACGGGGAATATGACATCTAAACTGGTTGGATGACATCTATTCTCGGGACATCCACATAGACAGTATTTTTGAAGCATTTTAAAATGCCACAGAAAATCGGTATTTCACGCCATAAATCACCGCGACCATGTCATCATTTACAAAACTGTATGCCAGCTTTATGCTCCTGTACCAAAACTCTGTCATGCAATACAGTGGGAAAGAAAATCAGAGGCAGCATCGGGCCTGAACATTATAAACCTATTCCTGGCGGAGGGCTTCACTTTGTCGCCGAGCTTCGGCGTACATGGCGCCCATCGGGCCTGAACATAATAATCCTATTCCTGGCGGAGGCTTCACTTTATCGCCGAGCTTCGGCGTACATGGCGCCCATCGGGCCTGCACATAATAATCCTATTCCTGGCGGAGGGCTTCACTTTGTCGCTGAGCTTCGGCGTACATGGCGCCACGAAGGCGCAGGGGCTCCAGGCATCAGTGATTAGGTGCGAGCATGTAGGCAGCACAGATGGCGGAGCATTGGAGCCAGGGTAGTGATGGACTGGCTAAAAATCAATGTGCGTCGCATTTCGCCGGGCCTGTATTGATCGGCTGAAGAGGCTGCAGAGGCATAATAGCCTTTGGTAACTTGGCTGTGCAGGCCGGCGAACGTGTTGAGCCAAAGGTTTTCACCGCAGTACGGTTGGAGCAGCCGCAGGACAGTCAGTGGTTAAAGACCAGCAGCTCAGGGTCTGGCTGGGTCTGAGCTGGCCGTCTGGGCGCCTTCTCACCCCGATGGGCGGTTCAGGAGTCGTAGGTTCAGGTGGAGGTTCGGGGGGCGCAGTGTGCAGATTCAGGTAGATCACGGAGCTCTCCAGGCTGTCCAGGACTGAAAGCTTTCGTCAAGGAGTGCGACTGACCGATGTACGAGTACAACGCCGTCTACGAAATCTACGAAGTCTACGTGTACGTCCCATGAAGCTGTCTACGTTGGGCTATATGCAGACATTTCCGACTAAATTAAGCAAAGCGCGCACAAGCACAGACCCTTGGTCAATTACATGATACGTCTCCCCTGCTCCTGAGTCTCTGTTCCTGGAAAGTACGTACAATCAATTCTCAGGCTGCCATGGTCGCCGAAAACGGTGCAAGCATCTTCATCAGACTGCAACCCGGACCGGTGACGGTGGGTGACGTCACCGACCGTACATCTACATCACACTGCAGCCCGGACCGATAACCGACGTTCACTGGCTGGATGACGGTGGGTGACGTCACCAACCGTACATCTACATCACACTGCAGCCCGGACCGATAACCGACGTTCACTGACTGGATGACGGTGGGTGACGTCACCGACCGTGCATCTGCATCACACTGCAGCCCGGACCGATGACCGACGTTCACTGACTGACTGACGGTGGGTAACGTCACCGGCCGTACATCTACATCACACCGCAGCCCGGACTGATGACCGACGTTCACTAGCTGGCTGACGATGGGTGACGTCACCGACCGTGCGCGGGCCGGCGCGGCGATGCTGCCCGCGGCGGCGGCGGCAGGATACAGAGGTACAGTGGCTCGGTGTGGTCGACTCGCCGCAGGCTGTGCTCGCTGTCCGAGTGGCGGCTGTTGGTCGACATGCGGCTCTTGCCGCCCGTGCCCTTCTCCTTGTCGCGGCCGGTACCGACGGTGGCGGGCGCGGCCGCCGGTGCCAGGTCGGAGAGCACACACTGGTGCCGCAGCGCCGACGTCGAGTAGAACAAGTGGAGCCGGCTGCTGGCGCCCGGCACGAGTTATGCTGACTGCGTCACATGCTGGCGGTGAATAAACGAGCTGGTGTTTGACTGTTTTCGTCTCACATGCGATCGGAAACTATTACAAGCCCCTTGCATTGCGCGCCATGAAGCTCCAACACAACACTCTGATGCACATCTAGAAAATGCCAACTTTCCACTTTACTGTTTGTTGCTAAGTAACAGACTGATGCTTTTTGAAACCGTATTCAATTTTTGACACGGAAAACAATCAATATTTGTTTTTGCAGTGGTAAGAGCTGTAAATGGCGTACAAATGTATCAGTGCTACTTAGTTTTTAATCTAATGAGTTTCATAAACTATCAGCATCAGCGTCACTGTCAGAGATTATAGAAATGAATGCTTCGTCGAGGATGGCATGCATCACTGTTTTCTGCACATAGCGTGGTAGCTATTCCGTCCCATGCTCGCAAAACAAATAAAAGAGGTGGAATAACTGACTCGGCTGACGCTGCTTGTTAGCACCTATGCCGACTCCGAGACACTACTGTTTTGAGATAAAGACATTTTCGTGAGTTACTAAGTGCTTTTGCCAAGAACACTTCGCATATAAAGACAGATTTAGAAGACAGTATTAATCGCCTTATTCCTCGAACGGAAGAATGGAGAGATAGAGTGATATTTCAGCTACATGCCTCTATGGAAACGAATATCAGCAGTGACTTCAAAATCGGCGTCCGGTTCGAATCGGATCGGCAGGTAATTTTTAAGTTGTTACTGTTGTTCGTCTCGATAAAGGCGTTTAACCGAAATATCACACCTATCTCTCCATTCTCCTGTTTATTCTACGGGAAATAGATCATTTATACTGTCAAATCTGAGGGGATTTTCATCAAGGTCATCGGTTTCCTGGACTTCCGCTGTCACATTCTGCTTCTTTCGGGATGGACGCCGCCGTCGTGGGGTGACCCTTCTAGTCAAGATTGACGCTGCGTTTAGTGATGTTAAAGCTCAATCAAATGGGCGCCGGCGCAGTGGTGTGTGCTGAAGGGCTTAAGAGCCTACAGTGATCTACATCAGACGACGATGTTGACAACGATTGCTGTATGTCGTACCCAATGCCAACATGCAGCATGGGAGGCATGTTGGTAACCTGCCTGAAAGTCTTGCAAAATTCGTCCATGTGCATCCAGGTTTTGGTTTCTCGCGTGTTGGCCATGATGATGGAAGGCGCCGACGGTGACATGGCCCGACCGCGTGGCGATCGCGGCGCAGGCTGAAATGATGACGTCACATCTAAACGAAGTAATGACGTCAGAGCGCACAATCAGCGGCGTATTATGTGAGAGCGGGATGCCGAGCTATCAGCCAAGATGCGGGAGGCATGCAACACGTGCTTGGCATGCTGAAGCAGGTGAAACAAGGATCTGGCCAACTTCAGTACTCAAATATTCGCGCACATGAATGCACACGCAACATTTATATGGGCGTGTAGGAAGAGGCCAATGGTGTCGTTTCCGACCAAGATGCTTTTAAAATAGTGTATTCGTTCAGCATTTTACAGATATGTACGTGGACTATAGATGGAAACTTATGTATACAAGATGTAGTTAAGTAGGACTGGGGATAGCTAGCTAACCTTGCCTCACCTCCGTCTTGGTATTTATTCTGCACATAATTACACAATAACATGTTGGGAGTAAATCACTAATCTTCGCTTATAGCATTCAAATTGTGGCCCGTCTTTTTTGCATCCTTACTTAATGGTACAATGTCTTATCCCAGGGTTACCGGTTGGCATAAGGACTGCGTGTGCGAAGGTTTCGCTTTCGGTTTCGCTTGTCGCTTGGCTTTGCGATTGGGTAAACTTGGCTTGCCGCTGGTTGCGGAGTCTTGTACCGTTTGATCCTGTGTGCTAGGAACAGACGCAGGAACATCCTCGACCTGCAATTTTTCAAAACATCTTTCAAAGGGTGAAGAAATTACTTTTTCGAACGCAACTAACTTTGGGTTACTCGGCCTGGGCCAGGAAAGGAAGATCAGGTCTAGCTAATGCTAGACCTGATCTTTTTTTTAGCCACGTTTAATTCAGGGAGATGCTACATGTTAAGAGATGAAGTATAATATGTGGTTTTCAGACCCCGGTTACATTACCACATAGCTACCATAGTCTAATATCTGATAACGGTATACTTAAGGATTTTGCTTGAGTGTAATAGCATGCTCCACATGTAGGAAAGAACTTACAATTTTGTGGTCGGACGCTTGGCCCGTGGTGTTTTTTTTTAACTGCCCCGAATTGTTGAGACCAGATCTGTGCGGATCTGATGTTTGACTCCTGTCTATTGGTCCTCCGTCCAAGTCAAATGGCTTGACCGAGAGCAAAGACAGCAACATGGTTATCCAAGTTTTGCATATCATCTCACTTATAAAATATGTTTTGGTGCATCATAAGTGCGCATGATTTTGTATGGGTGCAAACTGAACGGTACTGGGTATTTTTTATCCATATGGAATGTTTTATCCAAATAACAGTTTCCATCATGGACTCAGGCGCTGAAAAGTTTTCTGATGTTTAAAAAATGGCTTTAGAAACGGAACGAGCCTCTTTATGCACGTTTGCTCTTCAGTCCATGCCTTTAGTTCACTCAAAGTCTGGGATAATACTAGGCTCGGAAACGGTACGAATCGCTCGAGGGCGTCGGATGTTCACCGCAACATTGTTTTGCACCGGTATCATGTGCTGTAAGATGGGTTTGAGGATTCGTCAATTCAACGGCTGTTCACCAGAGTCATGTTTAGGTATGAACGCTCTTTAAGCGCGTTTACCTTTGAATCGGGTCGCTGCCAGGACGTAAAAGTCTGTTTTGTCGCCTCTGCGCCATGCATGCCGCTGATTTCTTTTGTAAGGTTGGAAAAGTTTCGGTGGGAAGAGATCTGGCATCATAACCGCCCGTACAAGCATGGTCTTGCTAATAGCCGCAAACCGCAGTTTTATCAACATATACGTCTTTTGCGCCTTTACAAGCATTATTTTAGATATGTACAACACATTTCTAGACGAAAATTGTGCATACAAATTATGTCGTTAGGGGATAGAAGCTGCCGAATTTTTAAGCTCTGTTTAAAAGTTTCGCCTCGTAATCCATCATTAAAAACGGAAAACAGCTATCGCCTGAGGGCAATCACAATTTTGTTCACGTAACAAAGTTGCGGTCAGTCACAAGAATGCGACCGTTTGCCATAAAAACAAAAAGCCTCGGCGACATAGGCCGGAACTAGGTTAGTACACTCATTAAATGACGGCACTAAGGGCGACCACGCCTTTTCAGTTTCGATTTGCCGATTATCGATCAAGCAAATGCGACACCTCATCCGAGAATTAAAACATGGTGCATCAGAATAAAAAAAACTCAGCGAACGACGGCCACCATTGTAAACGCCAAGTCGCAGGGCCGGTCAAACTCCAGACACTTTTTCCTTTTGGTGTCCACTGTCGAGCGTGCGTCAGCCGGATTCGCTCACTGTTTCCCCGGCCACGTCGGAGGAGAGGGCGGTGGCTTCAGAAAGCTCGATTTCACTGGTCCCAGACGCGACCTCTGTACTGGACGGGGTCAATGACCCGAACAGTTCAAGCAGCGGACTATGCACTTCCAGCATCTGAATAGGCCGGGGCGGATCTGAGGCAGAACAGACTCGGGTAGATAATATAGTGCAGGGGACGCCAGTGTTTTTAAAATAAATTTTTCTCGCGTTAACAGGGGTATTACATGCGTGCTTAACATTCATTTTGCGTGAACATGCGATAGGATAATCAACCCTACGAGCATTAGCGCTAATTGGAAATATCAAATAGGAATTGTTCCTAAATTACATAAATTAGCTCTTGGTCATGGAATTCAGAAGTCTTTCCTTTCGACAATTTACTGGGAGTGACGGAATAGGTGTGATGCATGCTAAAGGTGTCTTCAACAGCCACGTAACTGTTCAAGTGCTCAGAGGCAGACCAGTGAGTGTTTGTACGCCGACTGTGGACGCACTGGTGAGGTCGGGATCCCACAGGTAGCGGCGCACGTTCTTCCAGGGCGGCGTGGGCGGCCGCGGCGCCGGCCGCTGCAGCGGCACGTCCCGGAAGCGCGACACCAGCACCAGGTGGGGCGTGTCCGCGCTCAGCGGCACCTCGGCCGGCGCGCAGGGCACGTCCTGCGGCAAGACCGCGCCGTGGTCAGGACGCCGCCACGTCCCCCGCGACCGGCGACAGGCAGGCGCGCGGCCGACCGCGGGGAAGCGCGGCGAGACCGCGCCGTGGTCAGGATGCCGCCACGTCCCCCGCGACCGGCGACAGGCAGGCGCGCGGCCGACCGCGGAGTAGCGCGGCGGGATCGTGCCGTGCGGCCGGGCGGTTCTCTCTGGGGATATGGTAATTTGGTGAAGTCAAATAGAGGAATTCATCATCGGCTGGTGACGCTCAGCAGCGTTCTCTTGCCCACGAGCTGAGTTTTGCGAAGTAAATTGCGGACTGTGGAGGGATAAATGACGGAACCTGCCCTCCAAGTACGCAAAAGAACCAGTTCCTCCCCAAATTTGCATCACCATTTGTCAAACGTAAAGGGGGCCACCACTAAATAACTGCACCCCTGCTCTCGCCTTTTATCATACACACCTGTGCATCTTCCATCATAGCGAGCACGAATGGCTTCTTTCGCAGAAGCGTCACTGATTCGGGCTCCTCAAAAACTTCGTCAGGAGGCGGCTGGTTGATCGATTTTTTACCTTTCCCTTTCTCGAGTTTTCCTTTCTTTTCGTTGCTGGCGTTTGCCACTTCCCCTGAAATATGATTCATGGTGCTTGCATAGCATCACATGATGTGCCTGACCCTTACGACCCTATAAAATCCCGGTCCTGAGAAACACCGAGCTGGGAATCTTGAAAGCTATTGCATTATTATGGAGCTAATGCTATACCATCTGCGTGCAAGCATGACAGAGCGGCAACAAACTGCACAGCGGAGTTTATATTTAAAGTGTCCGGAGTATATTTTTAAAGTGTCTTTTCGGTGCATATACGCAACTCATCAAATTAACCTCAATGAAAGAAACGGACCAGGGATGCAGAATGCTACTGCCATAAAATAGATGAGGTGACGAGGCGCGACACAGTATATGAAAGATTAATTGCTTCTTTCCGTCCAGGTTCCATGTGTTGCAAAATGAGAGGTCACAGATGCCTGTCCGTGCCCACGGGGCGGTGCGGACCTGGCTTGACCTTGCCAGCGGCCTGATGCGGCGCCGAGGGCACCGGCTGCGGCGGCGGCGGCGGCGTCTGCGCCGGACTCTCAGGCCACTCGTACCGGGGCAGCACCTCCTCGCGCAGCATCGACCACACCTCCTCCGCCTTGTAGTGCCTGGGCAAGTAGACAGCGCCACCAGAGCATCATCACATGCACACGGCCGCTGGTGACGCTCCTCACGCAACAGAACAGCGTTTGTCCGGACTGGCAAGCGTTAGCGTACCTCATTAATACAGTGAGCTCCATGCAGCCAGTCAGCATTGTCACTATTTCGTGGCCCTCCACTTCGGTGCTGGAACGCTGGCCGGCTGACAGTACCTGGAATACCATCACTGGTCATGCGCGTTTTGTATTGCTAGGTAAGGACTTCGGCTGTCCACCTGTGTTCATTGTTCATTTGTGGATGGGGATGCTAAGAAACTTTGCAGACCCAGTGTAATTACGTCCGCAATTTATACACAAGACGCCTCATATGTGCAGGTACATAACCAGACCGATTACAGAGTTTATCGCGTGAAAAATATGATCATGCATAGTTGTGCATACTTACCACAAAAATGTGCCAATATTAATAAGTTTGTTATGAGTGTTGTGACAAACTTTTAAGTCCAAAAGTTAAAACAACCCTCCGGGCCTCGTACAAACTGGAGTCAGGCGGCTATCAGGAGCACCGTATGCAGCCAACACGCACGCGGGAGAGTAAGGAGAGTTGCATCAGTTTTGCCCTGAGATTTCTCCTGCTACAGCTATTGAAGAGGGGACTATGATTCCTACGTCTGCAGACAGCTATAACATTCAGCTTCACATACAGGGGTGAAGTTTTTGTTGAGTATTTCTTCGTTTTGGGTGAACAA